ACTATAGCAGAATTAAGCTTTGTATATTCAATCACCGATGGAAAAACAGGGGCCGACATCAATGCGTTTTTTTTTTATATTTGGAAACTGACATAATCAGGATGGTTTTTGTTATAAGTTATGAAATCTATTTAGAGATTTGGAGATTTCAGCTCATTTTCCATTTTACAAAAAGTTTTTTCAAATATCACATTTATTGATTTAGAATTTGGTGCAATTGTACTTTTTAATACCTAAAAAGTTATAAGACATGGTAACCGGAATGAACAAATCTAATGACGATCAAAACGTTGTTTGCAGAGTTTTTACTATTAATTCAAAAATATTAAAAAAATGGAAAAAACGACACCAACACCATAAAATAATCTAAAAAGTGAAAAAAGAAAATGTGTTGGCCCAAATTTTATTATAACCACTGAGTGTTAGTTAGACCTAGACATAAATAAATAAATAAATCTGTCTACTGCAGAGGAGCGGAGATTTTGTGCAATCCTATTGGTTAATATTTCTCCGTTTCTCCGCTCCACCGCCTCGCTCCACTCCAGTGGACAAGCAGGCTTAAAGTGGAAATGCCAAAAAAACCTTCTAAGTTAACCTCATCTCCTCCCTTAACCTCTCATGGAAAATAAATGTAGATTCATTTTTACGTCTATAGATTATTTTCCTAAAAGAAATTATTCTAACTTTCAACACAGATAGACACCATAAATACTACAGACAGGTACAGCCTGTGTTGTGTACTAAATTGGCGCAATGAATTATTAATGTTCCAACAGAGTTCTCAATCAAGCTGGAAGGGGAATCCATTTGCCAAAACGTATTGTTGACGTAAATTAGGCTATTCTGCGAATTGCCTTCTGTGTAAGGAAAACAAACAGTAAGGCTGAAAAGAAACACTTTGTAAACGTATTTTTATGACACAAATAAAATGAACATGTTACAAAATCACCGTAATTTGTTTTGTCGGGCCAAAGCGTTTTACATGTCCTTTGTGACTAATAAAATAAATTTCAAGATTTATTCAACCTGCATATGTATTCAGTAAGATCCCATTTATTCGGATTTCTAACAAATGTCAAATATCTAATACTAGTTGTTTTTACATGACCTAGCGACATTTTGCCGTGTAATTCCGTAATGCATAAAATGGTGTAATCAAGTACTTAGTATACTTAGCTTAACGCCAAATATTTATAAGTACGGCCACCCGCGACTTCATCCGCGTTTAGATTTTTGAGAATCCCTCAGGAACCTAACCAGTTCCGGTATAAAAAGTATACTATGTCTCAATCCAAATGATAAACTATATGCGTACCAAATTTCCTCCAAATCCGTTCAGTAGGTTTTGAGGGATGGAGTAACAAACATACAAACTTTTACATTTATAATATTAGTAAAATGTATCTAATAGTAACCACCTCTAAGTGTAAACTGATTTCAGCTGTTAAGGTATCACACTGGCCACCATCACCACGCAGGCCTGCAAGGTACCTCCTCATGGGTTTTTATAGGAAGAAAAGATTGTAAGAAGCAGATAATGAAAAAATATTCAGGGCAGAGAATGATAATAAATAAATAAATAAATATAAATATTTCCAACACTCACACCAATTAGCCTAGCCCCAAAGTAAGCACTGTAATGCTTGTGTTATGGGATGCTAGGGTAACGGATAGAAAACATATACTGTACATATATAAGTATATTTATATAGAAATACATATTAAACATCCATGACTGGAGTACAAATGCTCGTATTCATCACACAAACATCTGCCCCCACCGGGATTTGAACCCGAGACCTCTCGAGTCGGCGACACCATGAAACCCGGCGTACAAACCACTCGGCCACGGAGGTCGTCAAATGATATTTTCTAATAGTGCAATACAGAAAATCAAATATTATTTTTCATATCAGCATAGTACTTCTAAGTACCAGCGGTAGCACTGCTGGTACTTAAAAGTACTATGCTATTCTGTAGTGTTACCTACACACATAAGCGGACCGCAGTATTTATTATATTCGAACTACAAAACCGACCCGAAGTAATTACTGCACTTATTGTACCAAACAATTATCTAGATACATATATTCGATTTTACCGCCCCTAAGAACACACTCACTTTTCACCGCGGAAACCGTGTATGATTTAAAATTAAAATACATATTTTAAATTCCACCGCCCATTCCGCCTTTATGGAATCGCACTACTGGTACTGCTTAGTACTATGCCAACATTTCCAGTGTTGCACTATTTAAATTTAGACTCCAGATAAGCTACCCAAAGTTTGATCTTTGTGATGTGCTGTGAAACTACCGTACACACATAAGTTAGCGGATTAGTAAAATCTAGCTCAAAGTACCACCTCTAAGTGTAAGCTGATTTCAGCTGTTAAGGTATCCACACTGGCCACCATCACCACGCAGGCCTGTAAGGTACCTCCTCATGGGTTTTTAAAGGAAGAAAGCGCATGGTCCGACGATTTTATATTGTAAAATTAAATTCCTTAAAGTCTTTAAAAATTCTTACATCATTGTACTTTTTCTATTAAAAAGGCTCCGGCTCAGTTTGCTCCTTATGATTCATTAAAAAAAACTAACAACAATGAGATAAAGCCAGACCCCATGCAGGCAAACTTTTGCGAAGTATAATATGAAACCGATAAGCTCTTGTATCTTTGAGTTACATTTATGAACAAAGAACAAGTTGATTGCAAACATAACGTTGTTCCTGTGAATGATTCTACTTCTATCCATGCATTACAATTATCATCCCTATCAGCTAGATTAAAAGTACATTTTCGATTGAGAGAATCCATCAGTAGTTACAATGTAAAAGTGGTCGAACTGTAGAGTCCCATATGTCGTAGATACTTTCTCTGAAACGAATCGCAAACAGTCAACGTTACTAATTATTGAGAGTCGAATACAATGGGTTTCGGAGACAGTGGATTATGTTAGAACAACTATTCAATAAATATGCCAAATAAAGGTTGCCACAATATTATGACCGCTATATTCTTTGTAGGTATTCTAAATCGCTAATGTTGATATAAGGTTTGTTGAAATATCTAATATTTAAAATTCTCGTGTCACGGTGTGCGTAATTGAAATACTCCGTACCGCTCGACCGATTTTCTTGAAATTTTATATGCATATTCAGTAGGTCTGAGAATCGGACAACATCTATTTTAAATCCCCCTAAATCTTAAGGGGGATCCACTCTTAAATATTGTTTTTTTGGGCAAAATATTTTGTTTAAATTTTTTGTTTAAATTTTTTTATGATACATCATATAAAACCCTTTTTCACCCTTCTACCACCATCCCCTATATTTTTATGGCGGCACGAAGTTCGCTGGGACAGCTAATAATAATATAATAAACTCTAATGAAAACGAAAGTATATCCAGTCCAACGAATAATAAGAAACGTAAATAGGTATGTAGTAAGTACACGTATTATATCAGACACTCCCATTTATATTTTCGAGAGTATGCGAAGATTCTCGTTTGATACAAATTAAACATTTATAAATACAGTTTCAATGATAATAAAGGGCATCAATATAATATTTATATTATAAGTACTATGTATTATCGTGATCTGCTCTGATGGCGCGATTACACTTTCTCGTTAGCCCGAATACGAGTTCCAATGAATTTTGAGTCAATGACTAAGGCTCGTATTACAGAATGACAACTAAGTGTTGATCTTTACTTGAGTACAGTTAGAAAGGGATGTCGCTTTTCGGGTGCTAGAAATCAAGTAATGTCTATCGTGCACCCGAATACGGGCTAACAACGTAATGTAAATGGGCCATAAAATTTATAGTTTTAATGCCAAAGATGAACACGACACGACAAAGTTCACGATATTTTGATTGTTGGTTAAAATACTGCCTTCAGCCCCTGCCCAACCAATGAGATGTGTTAAGGAAGTAATATCAATGTGAATGAATGATTTATCTACTTGCACATGTGATAATTGTATATAGGATATCTTTAATATTCTAAAAAACTACGCAAATGCTTCGAGGATCTCGATGGTGGTCGGTCATTGGATGGATGACCAACAATTTACTATCTTGAGTTCCTCCGTGTTTCGAAGAGCACGTTAAGCCGTTGGTCCCGGCTGCATCTCCAGTCGTTAGCACCCGCCAATCCGCACTGGGCCCGCATGGTGGGTCATGACCCACTCTCCCTATTGCATCCATAGGAAAGGCCTGTACCCCAGCAGTGCGGACATTAATAGGCTGATAATGACGCAAATGCTTTGGTGATAAAGTATTTTTGCACTGTAATCAGAATCCGTTGGTATTTTTACACTGAATTACTGGGTGAATTAATAAATGGCACAGCGCATCTAAAAAGACGCCCTTCGCGATAAGCATATCCACTTTACAGAAGACTACAGTGAAACACTATCTATTGGATTCCACCTATACTGCTATGTTGGTGCTATAAACAAATTTTTAACAATAAAATTAAAGCGGACGAAAAAACTGAAAGGGAAAAAAATTAAACCATGTATGATCGCGACTGTCCTGTGAATCCGGCGTGTCAAAAATTTGTTAGGTAACCCTGACTTGAATTTAAATTTTGCAGACAACTCCACGAAATACAGACAGACAATAACCACGTTATAGATTCCAAATATGTATGATAGTAAACTATCGAACACAATAAACCTTTTTAATTTAATCTTAATAACTAAGTTCTTAAACTAGCATATGTAAGTGTAATTTTTAAGTTGGCGCCGAACAATCAACGAACTAACAGCACTGAATTACCTTTTTAGAGAAATAACCAAATTAAATTAATAATCCAATCATTTATCTATGAATCCAGTAATAAACTTAAACACCCATTTTGAAAAATTCAATATGTTATCCCATAATATATAGATATTATACTGCACATTACTGGTCATATACATTATGAAGCTGTATAAAAAATGAATTTGTCATTTACTTGTCATTCAATTGATTTGTCGATTTATTTATAGATGTATATATTTTGATCCTCTATTTTATGATATTTTTTTATTGTAAGAACTAAAAATGAGTGATATAATGAATTTTATACTAGTACAATTTTGGTAAAACTTTTGAGACTTTCTATCATTTAAAGGTATGTTGATTCTTTAAAGTATTTAAATATTTTTGTCATGAGTAAAACAACATAATTACATCATGTGATAAACAAACCATACTCGTAACACGGACTCGTAACAGATTAAATTGGATGTGAGATAATCGAAAACAATCGTACCTTGCTGGTTTTCAGTCCGTCGCCTACAATATTTTCCAAAACCTATATATGCCTATCATTGCGTTGTTTTGTCTATTTATGGACGGGATGATTTTGTGCCGATGCATTAGAAAAGTTTACCGCACCAAATATCCTCACCTCACCTTACTCGCCTGAACCCAATCTTTTACCCTGTGGAAACCTTGCCTTAGAAACCTTTTTTCCCCAGTCCAAACTTTCTTCTTCCTCACTTGTGCCTTCGGTTCCCTTCTCTCTTTACTGAACCGTCCTCCACTCTTTCTCTCCAGTACCAGCTTCCTCTCCTTTGACCCCACCTAGAAGTAGTCTCGGGAGCGGATGTAGACTCACATTACAATTCTAGCCATAGCTATAAGCTAATATACGTCCTTATAATATATCATGTAAGTAATCAAACTTTAACAATGCGAATTAAAGAAATAAAACATAACAAATATAAACTTGCAAACTTGAATAGAAACATACATAACTAAAAGGTAATGTTGTTGTGCCGAGATCTTTTGTAAGGTGACAGTTTCAAAAATGGGCACTACAATTCAAGTAAAAATCCCTATTTCTCCCATATCAAAGAAATCTTTAAACGTAGCTTTTATTTTCTATATTGTTCTTGACTTCCACATCACATCTGGCAATATTTGGGGCAAAGTTCATTCAAACAAATAGTAAAATTCAGTAGATAAATCCCGTTGCTATCTATCCTACTCTAATTATAGAACGCAAACACCCATATTCCCATCCTACTAATATTATTAGTGTGAAAGTTTGTATGTTTGTGTGTTTGGTACTCAATCATGCAAAAACGAATGAACGGATCTGAACGAAATTTGGTATTTGGTGCGCATATAGTTTTTTACCTAGATTGAAACATGGGATACTTTTTATCCAGGAAAATATTAGGTTCCTGTGGGATTTTCAAAAAACTAAAGTTAACGCGGACGAAGTCGCGGGCTGCCACTAGTACAATACAAAGTATAACAGTGCACGTCTCACAAGTGGCAATTTCTAAGATACATTTAGAAAACAGGGATATCGAGGCGGAACTCGGGTCCCTTGAAAAGCAATAAATGCATTGTGTTCAGTGCAAGCCGAGTTTCACTGTTTTAGTGATGAATAATTCATGTGATGGCCCGTTTGACCATGACCGTGATTCGTCGTGAATACTAATACTGTGACCGTAAAATTGTCCATTTCTCCCGAAGGTGTGGATTGTATATTTTTAATTGGTTATACCTATTACTACATTGATTTCTTTTACTTTGTATTCAATGGAAAATATCTTAAAGTTTACATTTTAGGAATGTGGTTTTTGAAACTATTCGAGATGGCAATCTCTAATATCATACGGTGCATGTATATCTGCGAAATATTTGCAATAGAAAATTTAAACTTTGGAATCAGAACTTCTGCTGATTTAAAATGGTTTTAAAGTAAACGTTGTCTTCTTCTCTTGTCGGGGAATCTTATCTGTCCTGTTGGCCACTCTAGATGTATCGGGTCCGCATCCCGTTAAGGATGGTCATTGGAGTCAACCCCTCTCTCTCTACGTTTTCACACATCGCCCTCGGCGCGGTCAAGCCCTCGCAGATGAGACCCGTGAGGGAGGCTCACTGAGCGACCTGAGAGCGATCCATCGCCCGCTAGACCCTTATGGTGTCTACCCCCGGGGTAGACACCATCGTGGCGTCAAAATCATATGTGACTCGCGGCGATGTTATCTCGATCGATTGAGCTAAAACGCCTGGCCAGCTCCTCTTCCGTAAGCGGGGCAAGGCATTGACGTAGCGGGGGCTACACCTGCGTGATCCTGGCCGAACAGCGCCTTACGACGCGCTCAAGACCTACAGCTGGGTGCGCGGCAGCCTCCGCTGGGTCGGAATGGCGCAGGCAGTCCAAGACAAAAGGACTTGCAGCTTCTTGCTCGGAAAACTTGAGGGTAGCTGGGATACGTGCTCTGCGGCGTAGTGCGATCCTGATTTTAAAGTAAACCCTCGGGAATTACTAGACGAAACGAACCACTTAAATACCAACCATTTTCTTTCTTTCCAACCAATCACTCCAATGGCAAGCAACTAGACGTTTGTGCTAACAGAGTATCTCTTGCGCTGTTGACTACCTTGACCTTGTGGAGCCCTTAAACCTTTAGTGATATTTCATAAAAGGCTTCCATAAGGTGGAGTTTACTTCCCCTGATGGGCTCATAGCGAGTTTTCGGTTTGAATTGGAATTCGAACGGAAAATCCGCTATGACATACCTCTTTTTTTTTGGGTCTGGAAAATGCCTTACGCATCCTTCAACCACTAGGGGAACGAGAAGAAGGTATGTGGGACTCCTCCCTGTCCTCTTCAGCCAGCCCTGGAGATCGCTGATGTGAACAGGGCGGAACCCGTCTCCGAATGGCCGCGCTGCTATGACATACCTCCCATCGCACCATTTTCACACAACTGTGTTATAATATGTGTTAAATATAATACGGCATCCTTCAAGCGTATCTTTGGAAACAATTACGTTTACAGATTTATTGAAGAGCGCATAATCAAGATCAATGATGTCTGATCCTCGAAGACAAGAGAACTCTATGTAAGGAATTTTGAGCAACCTTTTACCCATAGCTCCACCACTTCTTGGTTTTGCACTCCTAGGTTCATTATAGAAAACGAAGTTATCCATTTTTTTAAGGTTACAGATATCCATTGTTACTACTTCTTAACAAAGCAATATGAACACATCACCAGCCTATTAATCTCCCCACTGCTGGGGCACAAGCCTTTCCTACGACTGGAATAGGGAGATTGGGCCGCCGTGACTCACCACGCAGGCCCAGTGCGGATTGATAGCTGCTAACGACTGCAGATGCAGCCAGGATCAACGGCTTTACGTGCCTTCTGAAGCACGGAGGGGCTCATGATCATAACTTTTTGGTCACCCATCCAGTGACCGACCATTGCGAAATTTGCTTCACTTCCACGATTGCAGGCCATACACGCTTACCACCTGCGCCTAATATGCATATAATATCTATAATAATAGCATAAGCTGCTTGTCCTGAAAGAAGAAAAGCATCCAAACTTAAAAACATGAATAATGGTAATTATTACAGAAGCCGAAATTCCATTTATATTCACGTACAATATAAACGAGTCGAGTAACAAAGTCGACATGGAACACATTAGTACGCGAAATTCGTACATTCGTGTGATTTTAATAAAGAACTGGAACAATCCTAACTTTGAATGTGTTCATTTTCAGGGAAGTTTCGGGGAAACGCGTATCCCAATGGGAGGCACTCATGAGAAAATTCTCACAAGCGCACAAAGAAGAATGCAAGTAAGTTATATTGTACATGTCTTGCTAACACATTCTGAAGTGTTAATCGTTATTCCTACAGTACAGTGAATAAGATAGTGGTAACGCTTCTGACATAGTAGCAACACACGTGTCGGCAGCACTTTATCAAAAATCTCCCTTTAGAATGAGTACTAATGTAATATTTTTTCAATTAACTATTTTATCCGTTATAATTAATTTAGGTAGGTACGAGTATAATACGTTCAATGTAACGAATATTACTAGAAGAAATCTACTCCACCCAGGCTGGAATTTTTGCTTGTAAAAGTTTCTCTAAATATTGAAATAAGGAGCTCGATGGCGCTAGTGGTTAGCGCGTTCGGCTGCGATCGTTGAAGTTAAGCAACTTTCGCAGTGGTCGGTCATCGAATGGTGACCAAAATTTACTATCTCGAGCTCCTTCGCGCTTCGGAAGGCAAGTTAAGCCGTTGGTCCCAGCTCCATCTGCAGTCGTTAGCACCCACAAATCCGCACTGGGCCTGCGTGGTGGGTCATGGCCCAGACTACCTAAGCCATCCATAGGGAAGGCCTGTGCCCCAGCAGTGGGGACATTAATAGGCTGATGATGATTGAAATTGAATTAACTATAACAGTTTAATACCTAAAAATATTACAAACGTCTAATATCGAAATATACAATATTTTAAGAACAGAAACGAGTTTATTAAATACGCCTAAGTCAACTTGGCAAAAATAATGCTGGAGACAATGTGGTTTAATAATTTCAACGACACTTGCCTTATTTAAAGGGGATAATAAAGTCAGAACGAGTAATTGAGAGTAAGACAAATGTTTTAATCAGACCCTAATTAAGGTGCGTAAAATTAGGGAACATGACATACAATTTAACCTTTTCTAAGATAATAAGAGACCTAATTATTATATTTAACTTTGAATCCTGTCACAAAACCTTTCAATTTGATCTTGGAAAGAAGCTTATACTTTGCAAATGTGTCATATTCATAAAAGAAGTTGTAGTTTCCCATTGTATAAAACTATATTTTAATCTGAATCCATTTAGCTGTTCTGACATTATTGAGAAAGAAACACATAAACATCCATATGAAAACATTATTTACATACATAGTTGACGATGACAGCAAAGGAAACGGCAGTTAGGGGAAATGATTATATCTAAATATTAGGTTGGGGAAAAAGTTTCATCGTATTTTATATGAAAATTCAAAACAATTTTTAATAAAGTTTATTTAAATTTTACTAAAGTATGTAGGTATCAATTTGTTCGATAACTTTTTGCCATCTTGTAGGTAGGCGGAAATTATCCCACTGCTATAGAAATTTTGGAGCTTCAGTACCCTTAGTACGAGTTTGAGCTCACGAAAACTATCATAGTTTTCGTAATTGTAAATTATGTTTCTATGTCCATTTTGTTGAAAAAAGCCGCAAAGGATTTAATGATATTATTTAAACACTGTTTATATGTATTGAAACGAAAACAATAAAATCAGTACGAGTGTGAGTTCACGAAAACTATCTTAGTAATAATTGTAAAACTCGTACTAAGGGCACTGATCGAAAAACCGCCACAAGTGGTTTTGGCAGCCCTCTGGTTATGTTAACCTGACACTGCCCAAATAATTCTAAAGAGACCTAATGTCGAAACAGGTGGAAATCTGAAGGTGCCAGGTCAGGACTATGCCGCGGGTGTATTAACACCTCCCAGTCAAACTGTATTAATTTTTGCTGAGTGGCTAAAGATATGTGAGGTCTAACGTTATCATGATGAAAAACCACACCCCTTCTGTTGATTAATTCCGGCCGCTTTCTCTCAACTTCTTGCTTTAATCTCATCAGTAGTTCGCAGTAAAGTTCAAAATCGATGGTCCTGCCTGGCGGTAACAGCTCATAATGAATAATGCCATTCCAATCCCACCATACACACAGCATCACCTCGTTGCGAGTTAACCCGGGTTTCGCCATTCTGTGAAGCCCGGCGGCCGGCCTTTGACCACGACCTTTTTCACAGGTTTTTGTCGTAAGTGATCCACTTTTCATCACCAGTTATGAGCGTTTTCAATAATGGTTCGGTTTCATTACGTCGTAATAAAGAATCAGAAATGAGTATACGGTTCATTAGGTTTCTTTCAATGAGTTCGTGAGGCACCCAAATATCGAGCTTTTATGTGTACCCAGTACTCAGCTTTTTTCTAATACGTCAAAACTGTTTTGTGGTCAATTCCCATTTCTTCAGCTACTACGTAACCACTTGCATGCCGATCTTGCTCCACTTTTTCAAAAATGGTTCAAACTTAGAGCGAGTCCACAACACTGCGTCCACGACGTCGCAACGTCGCATCGCAAAAAACGACGTTGCATTGCAATACGAGCCAGCAGCGCTTCGATAATTCCGCGATGCGTTTTACGACATCGTAGATTTTTACGGAGCGACGCCACAACGCAGTGATGTGTCTTCACCCTTGTGCTCTTACAAATACTTACGTTAAGTAAATAAATTGTCTGGTCGAGAATTAAATTAAACTTTACAATAAATTAATTTCACAGAAACGCTTTAACAATCCAATATTCAAATATGCTCCTAACCTTAAATAAGATGTCGATTTATTGAACACTTACGCAGAAGGTTTCGGTTTTCTGTAAAATATTTTGTTATATTGAGCAAAATAATAAAGTGGTAAATAACTTTTTCCCTAAAACATGAAAATGTTTCTTTTAATCATAGAATTATGTTGGTAAGTGGTTATATTTGAAGACGCAATGACAAGGCTCGATTAAAGGAAAGCTCCTTACTCCTCTCTCACCTTTTTGCTTTAAAAGGAAACATAGCCCTTAAGTGAACTCCCAAGTTTATTTTAGCATCTTGAAAAATCGTGAGACGTTCGCTCTATATACAAGTAGAATTGTCATAAATCACAACCTCACCTAAAGAACTTACAAACGAGATTGTGAAAGAGAACGTGACTGAAATATATATAGTGGAAGCTCGTAGCAAAAGTATCATATACACTTACAAAGTTACTATATGATATACACAAACAAGTATACACTTACCAAGTATTTTATACAAGCTGTTGTTTTAGTTAAGTAGGAAGTTAAGGTACAAACTTAATTAGTGGATGAAAATATAAAACAAAATACTATTGTTTCACGTCTTTTTCTTGACAAATAAGTTTATTACACATGGATTTTTATCAACAGTAATTTGAGTATTCCACATTTTTTTTTGATTGCGATGTGGCTGTATAACTTGTTTCAAAGTGATAAAATTAGTTTTCTAAACAAGTGAAAATATAGGTAGAAGACGCGTAGAATTTAAAGTAGAATACTAAACATTTTCCACAATTACGATTTTATTTATTTTTTAAGCATTTAACTGCTAGATGTTTAAAACTAAAGAAATTTTCCACAATTTTTACATTACGATAGGACTGCATCTGTGGATATTCCTCGGGTACAACGCTCAATGAAGCTGTTTCCTACGGGATCCAAATACGAAGGCACCTGGGATGTATTAGGGATGAGTGGCTATGGCACCTACGTTTTTCCTAATGGTAATGCACTTTAAAATTAATATTATTGCATTTTTACCCTAATCCATAAATAATTACATATCTCATTGAGTAATTGTTATCGTACATAGTTTTACTTGAAATGTACTGTATTCATATATGAACCTAATTTTTGTATGAGTACATGGTAATAATCTTTTAACTACACTGAAAATCTCGCTTAGGTTTTCTCATAATAAAAAAGCTCTTAACCTGTAAGAATACAAGCCAAACACAGAAGTACCTTAAGTTGCTGAATTATAGAAGATTTATAAAGGTGAAATAGTTATTTATTATACAAGAGTGGAAAGTTCCTTTTTAACCGCGTGCTCGATTTGGATGACCGAGCAAGCGAAGGATTCTAAAGTTGAATCACGAGCGCAGCGAGTGATTCTAAATTAGAATCCTGAGCGTCAGCGAGGGAAACAAACGAGCACAAGGTGAAAAATCTTTTCACTCGAGTGCAATACGTAACTTTTCATCCCACCTCAGCGAGGAAATGACAAAATGAAAAAGAAAACAATTTATAATGACAAAATATTTAAGCAATAAAACGTGAAAAACTAGAATGGCGCGAAGCACGCAAATAAAACAAAGAAACCAAGAAGGTTCCAAATTTAAATTTTTTCACAATTTAAAAAGTTCTAATCATAAATTTGGCACCATAGAGGTTACATTAAATAGGTTTAATGACGTTTTGAATTTACAATTATATTGAGTACTCATTATATGTGATGTTCTAAATTCAAATCTACTTTGCCGCTCAAGCGAATAAAATAGAATTTTCCAGCCAGATTTCGAAGCGCAAAATTACACTTTCCGAGGTGGTGGGATGAAAATGAAATTTTCGTGTTGATTTAGCTAGTGACGTAAGCTTTATTTATCACAGACGTTATCTACGAGGGAGAGTTCAATGACGGTATGTTTCACGGCAGCGGCGAACTGCGATACCCGTGTGGCGCCATCTTGCAGGGCAAATGGCAGCGAGGTTTACTCATAGAAAGGACCCTGATATTCGCCGACGGCCTGGAGTACAGTGAAACGGACTGGAAGTATTGCAAGATGCCTGATAGACGGTAATATGTACTCATCAGCGTATTAATGAGAGTATACGTCACCAATTATGTAGTACTTGTGGCGCCATCTTGTGGGACAAACAGCGGCGGGGCTTGCTTATCAAGAAGACTCTGGTTTTCGCCGATGTTTGGAGAACAGTCAAACAGATTGGAAGTATTGCAACCATTTGTCAAAATTTCACACATTTACTGGTTATTTTAAGTAGCATTAACTATAATCAAATTTTACTATCGATGAAACAATGCGACCTTTGTAAAATCACACTTAAGGGGCCGTTCATAAAATACGTTCGCATACAAGGGGGGGGAGGGGTCTTGCTACGTGTGACAAGATGTGACAAGGGGGGACGGGGGGTCTACGGCAACGTGACGTTCGTCGTTCATTAAAATTTTTTAAATTAGTATTTCTTTCAACTATTTTTCTTTCTCAATTTTCATCAAGATAGAAAATCATTTATTTCGTATTTAGTAAACATATAGACATTCAAACGTATATAGTTTTATTATACAATAAATTGTAACTTGATATATTTACTCATAAAGAAAAGTTTTACTAGAAAAAAATCCACGCGGACCAGGCAGCGGGTTCGAGTCCCGTCCGCTGCCTGGTCCGCGTGGATTTTTTTTCTAGTAAAAACTTTTCTTTAGTTATGTATATATCAGAGTACAATCATTCTCCTTCTATACTTTTTAATAATATTAATTTGATGCTGAATTTGGCCTTACCTCGTGAAATTTTAAAAGGTTTCAGCATTAGATAACAGAGGTGTGTCCTACTATCCTATTCTGGCAAGCAAATTGTAACCGAAAGTTTGACCATGAATTACGTATTCGATACATACATAATAAATCAGGAAAAATCAAAGTACTGCTAACTTTTTGCTAAACTCAATTCATTCTGTGTAAGTTAAGGGTTTGATCCCCATTTCAAGTTGAGGCTGCCTCTGAACCCTTCATTATTTATACTGATTAGAATACGCAAAAATAAACATTTTGAAATGTTTGAAACGAAATGTTAATTATATTTTTTAGGCAACTCGCGCACAAGACGGCCACGACCACGAATAGTGGCCGTAACGACCAGATTAAAAAAAGATCCGTTTCGGATAACCACCATGATAAAGACTATAGAATGATTTATCATTTCATTACTATTTGAACAAAGCTACATCGAATTGAAAATCGAAAACGATCGCGAGAAGTTGAAACGTATTCAAAACATCGATAAATAGTACAAAGTTGGAGCAATTTTACACATGCTGACTAATACTATTAAACACATTATTATCTGAGCTTACTTTAAAGCTGTTTTGCCAGCATTGCTTTAATTCAAACAAAGCCTGTTATTTTTCATGCTGAAAGTGGTGATACTTCTCTGGAACTTAAGTATGTAGGTGGTGCCTTAAGAAGGATAGGAAAATTAAAATGAATAAACCTTATTTATTTTTTAAGCATTTTATTTTTTTTATAAAAAAAATTAACTAACAAAATTTTCTTTACATTTGAATAAACCTTGTCAAAAATACTCAGGATATTGCTTAAATTCTCCTCTTCGTTATTGGAGGCTCGCAATTTAGATGCATTTTCTTGTGTGAAATGCATATATAGTTCTCAACTCAATTTGTACCTATTACTTATATATACTGATAGGATTCGCACGAAAACACAACATAACTAAAGGGCTCGCATTTATAAGTTAATTATATGTTTTGTTCAGGCAATTCACTCAAATACATTTAATATTTTCGCAGTGAATGGGCTCAAAATATATTTTCAAAGAGCTATATGACGTCAGATACAGACGGGTGCATTTGATAGCATAATGTCCACCGAGAATTTGAATGAAAACGAAACTAAACCCAACAGTATTATGTGGAAAGGCTGAGTGCGGTAATATTAATTCATTTCGTCGGCCATAAATCCAGCGGGGCATATTTTGTAGACTCCACTAAAAGGTGGAAAAGCAGTGTTGTTTCCTAAATGGAGAATTGTTGTGACTTCTATGTGATCTATATTACTGATTTAAATATATAACTTACATAGCTACCTCAAAAACACACAAATAAGAATTGCCGAAATTCCTCACCAATGAAGTCGGATGCACATCAAGCACCATCTAAGCACTCGTACAATCCATTAAATCGCTACAGGGAAAATTACTTTTCCTGTCAAGGATTCTTATTGAATGTTCAAACGCGAGCAATGATGCAAATTTTCTCATCTCGCTGCCTTCATTTGTAAGAGTAAATACTTTATACTTTGTAGGAATCACACCTTATTGCGTCTGCTCGTAAAAGTGGGCAGGTATGAATAGGTGCGCACCCAAACACTTTTAGACCCATTTTTTATTCGTCTGACTAATCACTGTTTTTCCTCCTACAGTTTACGTAGCAAATGGGCCTCATCAAAAATATCTTTCCGACATTACCATCGCTTAGGTGATGTGGTACATTTATTCCACTCTCTCATTAGATGCTGTTATCTTACCAAAATCGACGATATTCTTTTACTTAAATCATATTAAGCAAAAATATATAATATTTTAATTGCTGTCGATTTTTTATGCTTTCATAAATAGTAAAATTTTTAACTATATAATATTAAGTATAATTTTTTTTTTACTCTGCGCCATTTGGATTTTGAAAAATCTGAAGAAAAAGCTCTTAGTATTGAAAGATTATTTTCCACTTTTACCACCACCGCCGAACTTTCATTACGTCATTATTTTAATTTCGAATATACATATATATAAAAAAAACAAGTATCAATATTTTTACAAATATTGGGCTTTTATAGGACCATCGGTTCGCAGATCTACAGCTGTCTTATACTGAGAAGAAGCGGCAAGAAACTCAGCAAGGGCTGCTTTTTTCTCCCTGTTTTATTTCATACAGTGTCGTAAAATTTAAAGCTGACATCAAATTTATAAACATTGTATTGAGGTCAACTTCCATCACATAGCGTAAAATAGGTAACAATAAATACACAAAAGCCCCGAAGTATCTAGTTATCAATTTTCTAAACTGATGAAAGGGACTTAGTGCAAGGTTCTCTTCAATACTCCTTTTGAGGAGACAAGTTTAAAACTACTTTGAAAATTATCTGAAGGTAAAGGCCAAATTACGACTTAGCGGTTTTATCATGAAAGTATTGTTTAAAAGTATAAATATCCTTTCTTAAACAAGCAATTTTTAATGTATGTTTTAAATTAATTTAGAGTCAAATCAAGAATATCATTTGGAATCTTATTATAGAAATAGACACCTTACACCCATAAATGATCGATGAAAAATTCAAAATTTAATTTCGTTTAATCAGTCTAGTCTAGTCTTTATACAAGCACTTGTGAATGTCGAAAAGCTACGCATTCGGTTCGCAAATCTACGGCAGGAGACCTTGTACTGAGAAGAACCGGCAAGAAACTCACCAAGGACTGTTTTCTTCCCCCTGTATTGTATACAGAGTCGTCAAATTGAAAAATGACTTCAATATGACTCATGAAGTCACATGACTTCAATATGAGATAACTCGTGAACTTTATGTAACCTGTAGAATGGTAACCTAAGTTTGTTTTTATTCCTTGTATTAAAACTATGTATGAACTTCACTATGTTTAGGATAGAAGTTATATAGTATCTCTTCTATTACATATCCTCATAGTGTCAGGTAGGAGAAACATTGTACTGTAAATCAACAGAATTAGGCAAAATGCTGATAAAACTATAGTACAGGTTATCTTATTTTAGGTACCTACTCGCAATAATACTTATATGTGATACAAATATTAGTTTATAGCATGAACTTAATATTACATGTTTTTGAGATAATAATAAAAAATCGATCCTATGTAATGTTTCAGATTCACTATTGAATACAAGAAAGGCATTCAACCAGCTGGCCAGTCGTTCTTGACCGCCGACCAGCCTACTCGGGAAATACCACTAGGGTTCTACGACACTGTGGACGGTTTCTACGACCCTAAGACGAAAGTCGTTTACAAGCCTAATGACCTGACAGCGATACTGAGGTTTGTTTAACATTCTCTATGAAGAATATCACAGTGGAGGTTAAGTCATGCCTGCCTTGCGTTCAACCATCTGGCCAGTCTATTTTGACTAGAGACGAGCCTACTCTGAATATACCACTAGAGTTCTACAATACTGTGGACGGCTTCTTCCATCACCAAGACGAAAGTCGTCTACAGGCTAGATGATCTGACAACGATACTGAAGATTATTTCAAATTCCCTATGAAGAAGATTACTCGTGGTGGTCGGTTGATGCCTGTCATGCGTTCAACCAGCTAGTCAGTCCTCCTTGACTGCCAACCAACCTACTCGGGATATACCACTAGGGTTCTACGAAACAGTGGACGGCTTCTACGAGCCAAGACGAAAGTCATCTAGAAGCCGGATGACCAGTCAGTAATACTGACGTTTGTTTTATGTGATGTCATAAATGGAATGCAAGCCTAGGGCGGGATTTGATGCTTATGACTGCAGATGCAGCTGAGGATTAAGGTGTGTTTGAATGCATGGGAGAGCTGGAGATAGTAAACTTTTGGTCAGCTACCAATAACAGGCGTTATGAAAATTTCCTGCACCATCGAGGTCCTCGTCAGCTATACAAGTATATTCATTTGATATTGTAATTTTTTTTTATATTTTCAATAAGTACCACAAGTTTAAAGGAGATCATAATTTAAGGGCTCCCACACAAAACTGCGATGCGATGCGATACGACGTCGCAGGAACTTACGATGCGATTTCATGCGGCAAGGATTTGGTTAAGGTGACCATACCTTTAACGGTAATAAGCCGTATTGGACATGTTTTAGTAATTGTGACATGGATCACAAAATTATTATTGCACTGCGGTTATTGTTAAATAAATATAGAAGAAGAAAAAGATTTTGTGTTCAATCATTTATTACGATTATGAACGCTGATGAAGACGTTTTCTTTATTATTTTAAAATGAGCATATCTTTATTTAAACAGCTTTTGAATTTATTATCACCGTGTCTACAAAAATGATCGTACAAGGGAAGTCTCAGAGCGGACTAAAAAGGTGTCACCAAGTGTCGTCACACTATCTCAGAAATTTATGTGATGCTAATCAAATCGGAAGTTATCGTACGAGCTCGCAGATATTTACGATGCGGTGCGAATTCGCAGTTATGTGTGGGAGCACTTACAGCAACGTCAGTCGACTAAGTTAAGGTACCTTCCCTTTTGGTCCAAATATACTAATTAGGGTAATTGATACAAATATATTAATAAGGGTATTTCCTTGTCTATCTATGAGAGTAACTCCTCGATATAAAATTAATTCAAACAAGAAAGAGTCGTCAAAATAAGTTCAAAAATGGCAAAATTAAGTGCGAGCGACAATAAAAATATACAGTCGTGTTAAGAACCGCCTCATTTCAGTAGTCGCTTAAAAAACCTTTAGGATTTATTATAGAGAATTGAGTGAATTTAAAAAAAATACAAGGTACTGTTTGTTACTAAATTTCAGAGTCTTACTTTATTTAATGGAGCACTCAAAAAGGAACCTAAGGCCATTTATTTTAATTTGCATATATGTTTTTGCTTTGGTAGCGACTTTGAGTATTTCATAATTTTAGAAATTCTAAGTCGTTGATTTTAGTTAGTTTAATCTCTACTCTTTTCATTTACAAAAAAAGTTTATTATAAAATTGATATAATCCTACATTCGTTTAGCCGTTTCGACGTGGTACGTACAAAAAAAAACGCATGCATACTTAAGAGCGAATACTCAGAACTCATGTTCAAAGTAGGTAGGTATTTCATTCGTAGGATCCTATCTTACGAATATTTTAAAAAAGTTTGAAAGTATACTATTTAATCTCGCAAAATCGGCTGAACATAATGGGGTGAAATTTTGCACACATATAGTTTATTACCTGGTGTACAGGATATTTTTTTTCTCGGAAAAATGTTAGGTTCCCGAGGTATTCTCATAAAATTAAAGTTAACACGGACGAAGTTATTCCTTCCACACAGAAGGTCTGCGCCCCAGCAATGGGGATATAATAGGTTGATTGTGATGATGACGATGAGGGTTATGTAAAAATGCATTTTGTGCACTTTACATATGAGGAGCTCCATGCGCTGGACAGACCAGATCCGCGACAACTCCAAAAGCTCTCATCCGTCTTATGAAAGTTATAGCTCAATCACACTCAATCGTTAGCCAGTATTCGGGTGCACGAAAGACATTACCCGAATTTTCAGGCAACCGAAGCAATATTTACACTGGAATACGGGCTGGACGTTGACGACGACGGACGACGGTGTAGGGTAACAAAAACGAAAACTACCCGAATACGGGCGTACTCGACTCCATTCATTTACACTTAGTCGTTTATCCGAATTCCAGTGGCACTCGTATTCGGGCTAAGGATCAAGTGTAATCGAGCCATTACGTTATGCTATTGGTCCCGACTGAACCTGCAGTCATTAGCATCCACCAATCAGCAAAAGGGCCTGCGTGGGAGTCAAGGCTTAATCTCCCTATTCCATCCACAGGGAAGGCCTGAGTCCCAGTAGTTGAGACATTAATACGCTGATGATTATGATGATGACTTTGCGTTTAAACCAAGTTAGTATTATACCATTAACGAAAAGCTGAAAAGAAACAAGTCATAGGTAAATATACATACAGGGCCGCGGAGTCGGCATGGATTTAATTAGTGAGTCGTCGAAACTCCGTAATTGCTGTGTTAATTGACACGCTGATTGCTGCCTCGGCCCTTACTGCATCATAATCAACGAACACGACAGTATATAAACTCGGTACAAAAAATGTGCCAGCTGCTTACTGGATGAAGAAATAATTTATAGAAAAACTTTATTGAAATGAGTTGGCAAAGTTTCTTTTCAGGCAAGATAACCAAATCTAATCTCTTATGTTATTTGGCTCGATTGTGATACATTTTCGATAAAAAACTTTTATTTGGTACACTCGCGGAAAAACCCGTTCTGTCACTCATAATGCCATAATCGCTTGCGGTAGCGGAGTAGTAAAAAATCATTCGTAAACATAATTATCGCCGTCTTACTTTTTCGTATAGCGCTGTCGCGATCACGATGCGGATAACAAATTGCAACTAAAACAAATGCAATTCAATTCATTATTCAATCAATGAAATGCTCTCTGTCTTACTTTTGTGCGGCTTCCCGGATAGACGCGTCCGACGCGAAAGCGGGGCGTAGTAAAAACTACTGTAGAAAACCGTTAAAAGCATTTTGTTCGCCAAGTGACAGAGCGCAAAATTCCGCGATAGTACAAGTACTACTATTACCTACCAAATGTATTATCTAATATAAAAATATTGTATAGAAATAATATGAAAAACCTTTTTTACTAAAGTCTTTAACTTAGCCATTAAAATAGGATACATAACCTTCTGTACTCATAAATATTGACTATGTAATCTTTTCATCGCGATAGCGTGTTTATAGATGTCGCCCAATTCCCAGTGGAGTATGGGTTCACTTTTATTCGGAAAAAGTAGACAAAAGAAGTTAGTTGTTTACCGGTCTACAATAATAGGAAAGATTCTCAAGGCCAACCAGTCCCTCGCTTGATATAATCGCTCTAAAAACTTTCTTACTAGTTCTGTGACACCTGTGTCTGTACACAGCAATTGTGCTATTACAATCAGCCTAGATCTTTGATTATATCGTAGTACTACCATACTTCACTTATATAAAAATGGCGAGGTATTACGAGGATAAATAGGTTTCAGACCGGAAAGTTGAACTGAAAGTTGATGATTTCGTATCATTATTAATTTCCGATTTATACTCTCAAATCGTATAACAACATCTTGTTAGCAAGTGATTCCATCCCATCGGATGGTTTATTTTTAATGATCTCGAAACTGTAAATAATGACCTGCGCAGACGACGGAATTTTGTCCGCGGAGGACTTCTATCATGAAAAAAAAATTACCCACCGAGGGCTTGTCACGGACTCAACGCACACGGTGTGCGGATATTTGTTGCTCAGAAAAGTCAAGCGCACGCTATGAAAGCAATATCCTGAGATTACGTTGAATTATAATAAAATATGATGTTTATGAAAAAGAGAAGAAGTTTTAAAAAAGTTTTCCGGGCCCTTCCCTTTATATCAGATTGATTATTTATTTGTATTGTTGAGATTATTTATTATTCACTATTAATATTTACTATTAATTTGAATAGAAACGATGTTTCATGATCTTCCTAAAAGATAATTAAATATACATTGTTTAAGCAAAAAGAGATGCAAAACATACAAACAGCATACTTGAAGTTGATTTAACACTTAAAATAGCAGGCTCAAAAGACATGACGCCAAGCCACAAAAAAATGGGTTTACTAAATAATTACTCAATTGTATTTCCTTAATATTGAGTTTTTAATTCCAGACTTAAATTATAAATAACCACGTCTATATAATAAATCCGTTAAGATTATTTTATTAGCATTTCTGATGATGAAATCTATAGACGCTAAAGAATCAACAAATATTTCGCCATTGTGTTTTCGGTCGTGATACTCTTTTTTGGTGTATATAAAGAAGTTCTTTTTCCATGTTAAGGGGCACGTATTAAATTATTTCAGCACGCCTTTATTCTACCGTTTCAAACAGGCAAATATCGATCATTACGACCAATCGTTTCGTGTATGACGTGGCATTTTGAAACAGATTGAACGAAATGACGAATCGTACCGTATATAGGGGCCCTTAAAAGTTCCTTTTTTTTTCTACTTATTTTATAGAAAAACAAATACAATCGATTTCATGCGCCATTGTGCATACTTACATCACTCTCAAGCACGCAAGGCGGACTATAATTCATTGTGTGCGTTGCCGCCTTTTTTTTCGATGACTCTTGTGTTCTTTTTTCCTGTCTGGTCCCATGACGTCCGCGGTAGTTCGAAGGACTTTTTGACCGCGTTATTTTAAATTCGTCGTGTGCGTTACTCGATGCAGTTATAAGCGATGTATTACGGCGGACGGCATAAGACCTAAAAGTCCTCCGCACACAAAAATCCTCCGCAGACAAAAGTCCCTAGTCCGCACAGGATATTTGTTTAGCTTAAGATATCGGACACCATACGGTTCACGTAGATATCTATCTTGATAGTCATTTTGTTCTTTTGAAGCAATTAGAACGTCAGGCTTGTTCGAAAGTCGACTAAAATACCTTCAGACCGTACGACCATCATTTACTCAAAAAAATATTCGGAAATGAAATATCCCTTTAATCCTACCTGTCAAAAGGATTGATGAGAAGATTTTTTTTAAAATCTTCTCCTACTTTCTTTACCACAGATCGCCTTCCGAGCGCGAGCAGAAATGGATCATGGAAAACTGTCGCAAAGCGCCTGAGAAGCCACTTGGCCCACGGCCGGATTTATACGAGGTGTGGTTGCCTCCCAAAGTTGAGCCGGAGCAGCAACCAGACCATACAATGGTGACCCGCACTCCAGCTTCCCATCCATCCACGGCCGGCGGCAGAATGAAAACTGAAGAGGTTAAAAGTGCTTTCGCCTACACTCCACGGCATAGTTATAATCCAGGAGTCCAAGTCGAGTCAGATGATAGCCAAACATCCAGCTCCTCCTCAACTGAAACATCTTTAATACTAAAATCTTTCTACCCTTCTGAAGGGGATCTGGGGGACATTAGCTCTTTGAGTATTTATCCCACTAGTAAAAAAGCTGCTAAACGTTAAAACGAAAGTAGAATGCGATTTTAAAATATGTAGTTATGTTATACAGTATTGAGGCGATATTAAGTTTAATTTTGACAAGATAGTCCAGTTTTTAGTTATTTAATGAATTTAAGACGATGTGGGGAGCTTAATAGAGTAGAAAGTTGACCTTCAAAGTTTTTAAGCAAGGCAAGATTATGGTATATCATTTTGGAAGATATTATTAATACCTTAAATTAAGTAAACTCTGTTCGTGTCTGGTGAATGAATTGTTTAAAATATTTTATTTTAAACCAATGTTGAGTGGCCTTATGCTCTCTATCCCTTTGGGTAGGTACCCTTACGCTATTTTAAAAGATCAAATAGCAAAAATTAAAGACAATCATGACGTCTCTGTGGGATAAAATAGCCTACAGGACTATAAATACGTTATAGACGAAACGTGTAATTATTGGCAATGGCTCAATATTAACAAAGTATCAGTCTTAGAATTGGCATCGTATCTTCTATGCGAGTGCCAACTCCCAAGTAGGGATATTATTGCAGAAGGAATACAATATACTACACAACACAGATATTACGAGCCATTACCGCCGACTTATCCTAAGCGACATTGGTGCCGATTCTGGCATAATTCTAGCATAAGGTATAATTCTCTAAACTTAAAACTAAATTTAACGTCGGTCTCTCGTTTTCACTCTGTTTGAGATTTTCATTAGTGATTCTTTTTAAGTATAATTTTAGATGTTTCTTGAGATAGTTTGAACCAAGGTACAAAATTGGGCATAAATCGGAAGTCGCCTTTTGTATTTAGTATATTAACTATACATTTTTTTTATATGTTAATTTAATAAGTACCCATTTATTTATAAAAAAATATTCATTATCATAGTGTGGTATCTCTAATGCCCAGAATGAAAAATAGTCGGTTCGTTTCATACAGAAAAAAAAGGCCAAAAAAGCCTCAAAACCTATTGTTTAAAGGATAATGGGGAAAATGTATGAACGCTGCACCGACGTCCGCCACGGCCTAAACTGCATTTGTTTGAAAGGTATTATAGTCATGATCATCTGTGTCAAAGCGCATCAAATTCCATCCCAGGGGTCTTTAGTTATTTTAAATTAAATAGGTACAAGTACTATAACGAACGAACATTAATGAAACAAGGGAACTTATTTAGTTACTTAGTTCGATCCTACATAGGGGACTCAGGTATTATGGGAGTACTTCACAAAGAGCAAGGGTTCCCCCTTATGTTATTCTGCCGCGACAGAGTAAATCCAAAAATTTTGGGGTTTTTTCAAACATTGTTGGTTCTATGTAAAACGGAGCGAACACAAATCACACAAACTTGTCCACGCTTCGGAGAAAACATGATTCCAGTTCATCCATACTAATTAACAAAACCGATAATCGTGTTCCAATGTCCAAAGCGTGTTAGATAAAAATCAATCAAGTGACAGCGAGCGCACAAACGAGTGTACCATTTGCAACTGCAAGTCCTTCAACCCCCGTAAACCGTTTTGAGGTGTCTCAGTAAGTGCAAGCGCAGGATGGTCAGCGGGTTTTGTAGTATATCTGGTTATATAGTACGATATGGCATATTATTATGGTTACTAATAATATAAAATGAAGGTACTATAAAATGAATTCATTTAGCTACTTAAATATGCCCATGTGTCATATCTTTTGACTACCAGGATATTTTTTTACGGTGTCATAAAAAAGGCTAGTTTTTCATAGATCTTTCGATTCATACTAATTACATTGTTGGCGGAGCTGGGTGTGTTTTGCCCATTGTCCTTTCAATTAAATAGCGCAATTATTAGAAAAAATATTTAAAAACAAGATCTGTAAAATTTGGTTTTTGTCGGTTACACTTCGCCCGCGGTAATGGCTCGATTAAAGCATGAATTTTGATTAAGTTCAGAGTAGCTAATATAGGCATGTAAGACTCAGTAGATATTTAGATAGTAGCTGCAGCTACTAAAATATAACCGGATGAGTTGACAATACTTACTTACTGTAAAGTAGTGTCAAAGCATTTGTTATTAGTTCGAAAGCAATGTTTGCATTTTTTTTTGGGTTGAAATTCAGCTACATAATAGAAAGCACTAATGGTCTTATTTGAGCATTAAGCCCGGGGTGATAATATGCTGAATTTATTTATAGTGTTTCGATTTATAGTTTTAGTTTTTAATTAATACTTATCGAGGTAGCTTAGGCACTACTCAAAACATCATCTTTAATACCATCCCAATTGAGATATGCAATATACCTTAGTATACCTTTATTTAAAAGACTTTTTAATTGTTAGTTTAAAAAGTAGGCTTGCCTTGTTGCTTGATAGATAATAAAATAATATTGAACATATATGAACTTGGTTTCTTTATTAAATTTGTCAAGAATCTAAATTAAAAGTCAATATTTATAAAGTTTCTGATTAACAATTGTAATTGTGGGAGACTAAATTTGCAATAATATATTATGGATTTACACAATGACCGAAATAAAATATAAGCAGCAATCCTGCCGTGTCGGGTTCGATTCTCATTTCTCTTGTAAAGTTATAGTCAAGCTAATTATAGTTTAAATTGATCCGTGGACCGTGATCCGATATTTGCATAGCTAATAGTACAGCATTTGCTCATTTGCTTGCGAAATTTTATTTATATTATTTTTATAATTTTGACTCATTCCACAGGAAAAAGGAGGTGATCGAGATTCCCGAATGGCATCTATTAAGACAGACTTCCACAGACGGCCTTTTATTGAGTACAATGCTTTCAAACAAAATTTGTTACATTGATTGCGAAATTATAGTTTATGACTGGGATTATATTGTTTTCTTAATCCCAAGTTACCAATAGCTGTCATGGTGTGAATCATCATCAGCCTATTTATGTCCCCACTGCTGGGGCACAGGCTTTCCCTATCGATGGAATAGGGAGATTGGGCAGTGACTCACCACACAGCCCAGTGTCGATTGCTGGGTGCTAACGACTGCAGATACAGCCGGAACCTACGGCTTAACGTGCATCCGGAAGAAGGAACTCGAGATAGTTTTTGGTCACCGATAAAATGACCGATAATTGCGAATATTGCTTAACTTTCGCAATCGCAGGCGGAATGCGGTAACCACCTGCACCATCGAGCTCGAGCAAAGTAGTGAATATTAACCATAAATACTGCGAAGGTATTTATTTCCTATTTAGCAATAAATATATTTATTTACTTCGAAGAAATTCTGATTTACTTTTATTGTAATTAACCAGAAATACTACAGCTCGAACTGATTTAGTATAATCACAAAATTTATGTGTAGGTTGGCAAGTATTCGATTTTTAACAGACAAATCACGATACAATTTCTGAGGAATGCAGTGACGAACAATTTTAGGGTCTTAAAAGAATGGGGGCGATGGTGAAACACTCGTGACGCGTTGGACGCGGCTACAAAACACTGAAAAAAGCGTGGCTGAATATCTATGTCGTGGGGTGAAAAAATAGAAAGGTAAAGCCGGACCAAAAAAAACCCGTGAATAACAATCATTCATTCATCACAGAAAATTCATTATATCATATTAACCTTGCCTTACCTATAGATAGATAGAATAGGGTCTTGAATCCATTGCCTTAACCGCGCGCCAGTGTGGATTAGTGGGCGCTGGCACTACAAATGCAATCTTTATTAGAATTTTGGTCACCCATTCGATGACCGACCCTTCCAAAAGTTGCTTAACTTCCACAATCACAGACCGAACGTGCTTACCACTTGAGTCAACAAGATTCTATGAAATAAAGCTAAATCCAGTTAATACGTCGTAATCTTTTTCTTTGAAGTCAATTATAGCCAAAATAAGATAAAGTACTAGTCCGGAATCAGCTGAAGCTGCACATGCAGCGGCTGCATGCAGTCGGCAAAAGGTCAGCTTTAATTCAATCCCCGCTGTAGATCTCATGATTCAACCGCAGCTTACAAATCGTGATGACTTAAGGCAACTTTGCATTTATTTCACAAAAGACGGTAATTATACAGAAATAGCTCACGGCTATGTGAATAGCTACTACCTTCCTACACTTTTTAGCTTTGAAAAGTAATTAAATTCATTCCTTCGAGCCATATTCGCTGCGCCTACGGTGTGGTGGGCCTACGAAATGCGTTGCTGTGAAAACGAAAAGTTGGTGGGATGCTATTTTGAACCGGCTTCAAAATGGAGAAGATTCTTAATTTTATTGTTGTTTACTCTAAGATTTGTTGATGATTTTGATATTCTTATTTTCTTTTTATTTATCAGTTTTTTGGCAAGGCGGTCCTTTAAAAATTTGATGAAAATCTGTTACGTAGTACCTAAGTAGGTACTTTCGAAAATTAACAATACAACCCCACATTAACAACTAATTCTCATACTGTGGGTATTTTAAGAAATACAAAAAAGAGAATGCAGCTGAATGTTCAATTTTGAAATTTTGAGAAAAGTAAACATTGGTGTCGATTCTGGCGTGATTCTCTAAACTTAAAACTAAATTTAACATCAGTCTCTCCTTTTCATTCTGTATAGAGAACGACAGGGATGCATTGTTGTCTCATTTAAGTTTAGCTTTAGAGAATCATGCCAAAATCGACATCATTATTGACCCATCCACGTAGCAGGTACGTAAGTATGTATGTAGATATACTAATAAAAGGACGGTATAATTAGGATTAAAGGAACGCATAATTTCGGACTGGCAGCGGATCCTGAAAGCGTACTGGCTTTAATTAACATAAATTAATACGATAAGTAACTTGAAACCAGGTTAAAAGTTGAGACAATCTAAATTGCTGTCCATCAAAGATGGACAGGACACCGTCAACTATATTTAGAGTAGAGATAGTTTTTGGATTAAATATCACTGTTCTAAGCCTTTTCTTCATATGTGCGTCATTAATAAAATAAAATAATAAAAGTACGGACGTGGACACTACCAGGAAAAAATTGCAAAATTTTTTGAAGTTATAATAATAATAATAATAACATTTATTTCAGATTATTCATCCATAATGGTTAGTAACAATTATGCTTACAAATCTAGTGTTAGTTAATTGAATTCATAAAATAAAATTAGATTAAAAACAAAAACAAACATATTAATAATAAGACTAACAACTAAGGAGTCACCGCCGCTGTATGCAGATGGATCCAGCGCATAAGCAGCGGTGAATCCCAGCGTTCGGACAGCGCGCGCACGATACTGTTTGGGCTGGCGCGCACGCGCGATAGCAACGACCCACTACGCTTGCGCATTATTGCATAAAAGCAATCAGTACGCGCCACTGCAAACATTGTGGACGCACTACAAAATGGCGCCAGCCCCAACAATATCCTGAACGCGTTATTATATTGCACGCGCAGTGCGTTGTACGCGCGCCGCGTAAAGTCAACCCACAGAGCACACGTGTAAAAGTTCTGACAGTAGGCTTTGAACAGCGTCATCTTTACCTGTGTACTACACCGTGCGAATCTGCGAGCTAACATATTACAGCGCACACTCAACGCCCTGCGCTCCCTCTCGATGTCCGTGTCATCCACCATACCATCAGTCAACCAATGGCCCAAGTATTTGAATTTGTTGACTCTTTTTAACTCAACACCACAAAGAGTGACACTGGGTATATTGTGATAGGTTTTCGAACCAGCTTTAAACTCCATCAGCTCACTCTTAGTGGCATTATACCTAAGTCCGTGCGTCAACGCATAGGTTTCACACATTTGTAACAACCTTCGCATTGCACCAATCGACGGGCTCAGCAGCACCATGTCATCGGCATAACTCAGATTGTTAACACACACCCCGTCAATATAACATCCAATGCCAGTTCTGCTAAGCCCCCCGATTAATTCGTTCATGTACAAGTTAAAGAGCTTAAGTGAGGTCAACCCCCCCTGCCTCACTCCGCACTCCAACCCATACATATCCGTATGCGCACCTGCCCATCTAACACTATTACGTTGGTTTTCATACCAATATCTAAACAAAGCACACAGTTCAGGTGGTAATTTAGTTTCCTTCTGTAATTTATTCCACAAAATATTGTAGGAAACCAGGTCAAATGCCCTCGACAAGTCCAAGAAACAGGCATAGACTGGCGTCTTTCTTGATGTATAGTATTGTACAGTCTGCTTGAGGCACAGTATTGCAGTTTCAGTTGAACAACCCGATTTAAAACCAAATTGTGCATCATGTATATTCAAATGCTCCCCCAAGCGCCTATCAAGCAAACTGTCCAACACCTTAGCAGTGATGGTCGCCAATGATATAGGCCTGTAGTTAGACAAGTCAGAGGCATCACCCGTCTTGTTTTTAACGATTGGTACAATTACAGTATACATAAGTTCGTCTGGTAGATAACAATGACTTATACACAAATTAAAAAACATCGCAAGTATTCGCGGCAGGTGTACGCCCGCATGCTTAAGATGCTCAATACTGAGGCTGTCGTGTCCGGGTGACTTTCCGCTAACCATGTTTTTTATTACGCTTGCAACATCCCCAGCAGAGAATCTAATAGTTAGGTTTTCGGGATGCCCCTCCACACTGAGCATCTGCCGCACATTAGCAACCGGAGACTCAACTCTAAAATGACGCTGAAATGCATTAGCGATACTTAAGGGCTCGTGCACACCGGCCACACTTACAGGTAGGCTCGGCTTTAAGTTAAGTTTATTTGTATTTTTCCAAAATTTTGCAAAGTTTTTATCTGAATGATTTTTAGTAATTATGTCCATTTTAATTTGTTGTTCATTATTCTGACAATATTTTAATTTTGATTTAAATGTTCTTCTGGACTCACACATATTATTGTACAAATAACCAGAAGTTGGTTTTCCATATAATATCCAATTTTGATACCAAAGGCGAGCCTCTCTGTGTGCGCCACTAACATATTTATTCCAACCTATGACGTACTTATATTGTTTACGTTTGGTACCTTTATAACTAAGCTCAGCTCCTTGCTTAAGTCTTAGCAAGTTATACTTCTTTAGGCGCGTTATGAAAAAATTATGAGAGTGAAATTTTAAGATGCGCGCGCATCACTGTAACAAAAAATTTTAACATAATGAAGTTGGTCGCTAAAGCGACCAACTTCATGCGCTACTTTTGTGTTTACCGCACATTAAGAAAATCTACCAACAAAATAGAAATAGAATCTCTATTTAGTGGGTGCTAACGACTGCATTGTGAAGGCCTATCAAAAGTATTTATTAATCTGGAACAACGGAACCAAAGCGCGATTCAGGAGACTACAGCGCCATCTCTTGACCATTGGTGTAGTAGAACCAAAAACCACATCTTTATTTTTTGTAATAAAGTAACAAAAAGTATTTATTAATCTGGAACAACGGAATCAAAGCGCGATTCAGGAGACTACAGCGCCATCTCTTGACCATTGGTGTAGTAGAACCAAAAACCACATCTTTATTTTTTGTAATAAAGTAACAGTTATAGGTATTCATATTTATAATATTTATCCACATGTTTCTAGTTTGTATATTCGGAATACGTGTTTGAGTTTCATACAAGTGCAAATCACATATGTTCTAATAAATTATATTCAGTAGCGATTTTAATTGAATATTTTGATTATTTATTTATTTTTTCAAATTAAAACTGAACTTTATTGACTGTGTCCTTTTCCAGACTTTTTATTAATTTATTGTAATTAATTATTTGCATGCAATTAAAAACTAATTTTAAACGATGCCAAAGAAGGATAACTTCTCACGCGCCTACATAAGTACACGCACCCATTTTTTTTTTTAAAAAAACCTCTCCAGTAAAATTTGGTTTTTGTCGGTTATACTTGGTCGGCGGTAAGGCGATTGTTTAAAGACTGGTATAGTGAAAGACAGTGTTTAGAGAGTTTATTGTGATTAACATTGTGTGTTAACGGAATGAACTGTATGGTGAATAGAGTACTGTCAAGCGTGGACTGGCATATAATTTCGAACCCCATCCCGACACGTAACAATATTTGGTTGTTTTTACAACTAAATAAAGAAGTTGTTGAAATTCACTTATGACCCCACACAAAATGTAATTTGCAACTAGCCATATTACATTAAATCAAGCTATTATTTCAGTAACAACTCCTTCTGGGGTCAATAAAATCAATAAAAAGACTCATAACTCATCCTTATCCAAAATTACTTCTAAGATGCAACACTTATCCTCTCATGTGTGGATGATAATAAGGTCTAAATTTGAAATATTGATGTTGTTCACCCCAGTTTACGGAACTTTTTAAAGGAGAGTTTAGCTTATCTATCTATGGCCAAAAGTCAAATTTTATTTAACCATAATACCCCTGCTGCATATCCAGGGTGCTTTCCGGCCTGAAGCCGGTTAAGTGTGGGTGTACAATGTTTGGCTGATGTGTCAAAATACATACCTAGTATATGAATCTAGAATTTTGCTAAATATTATTTTACAATTAAAACAGCTATGTTTTCAGTTGGAACTGTGCTTGCTCATTTAACGTAACTACTATAATCCAATAATAATGGCGTCGCCAATAGGTAAAGTTTGATTGCAGCGGGGTCAAAGATTACCGCTTGCATTCCCATTGCATTGCGATTACACTCACACTCGACCTCTCTCCAATCATTTGCGACGTTCCACAGAAGTTAACCAATGATGTCGATTCTGGCATGATTCTCTAAAGCTAAACTTAAATTTGACAACAGTGCATCCCTGTCATTCTTTATGCAGAATGAAAAGGAGAGACTGATGTTAAATTTAGTTTTAAGTTTAGAGAATCACGCCAGAATCGATACCAATAGCATCCAACTACAAGGAAAAAGTGTTTTGTTACATGAGTAAAGTTCACAAAATCTTTTTAGGGTTTTGGGTACAACCTACCTACAGGTGAATGTATGCTTGATTCGGACTAAGTATTGAAAGAAAGAATCAAAAAGATCCTCACACGTTTGTATCCAGACAGCCACTGTAGTCAAGTTAACTAATACTGACATATTTCTCCAACTTACAAGCTTTAATGCTTCATAGCCTATATAACATTAACATTGTACTGAATATAATGCAGTTATAAAATATGTCTCTCTGTGGTCGACGGGTATGCTTCGGGTATGCCGCCAACAAGCTCAGAGTGTGAGCAGCCGAACCCACTCTCTCTCACTCCTCTACCCCTACGCGTTTTAGAATATAGTATAATAAATTGTATTAAAAATGAGAGTACAAGAAAACAGTATTTCTTTACCTTCAACACCCATTTCTCCAGCGATGTTTTGCCAGCACCTATAAACGACATTCCTATTTGAATGGTTCTTGTCTCTTATCTCTCTTATATCATTATGTTAATTCTTAAATATAAATCAAGAAATAAGAGAAGATCGCAAACAAGAAGCAAGGGTTAATTAAACAACTATAACCTGCAGTCCGAGCGGCGCTGCTGAATTCAGTATCTGAAACAAGAATGACCTAAACATTCAGGTAAAGTCTTTGACTCCGAACCCTGCACGGGCAACCAGTTGCCTGCTGCCACTGTGTCCACCCTGACTACACTGTTTATTTCTCATGCTTGTTCTCTGAGTCTGAACCTGATTCTGAACCAGCGTGCACTGCGGCCGTAACCTACGGCAGCTACTGTCCAAGGGCGGATCCAGGGGGGGTGTCATGGGGGTCATGACCCCCTCCTGGGCTGGGTACAGATGGACCAAACCCAGGGGGATTTTATTTAAGTACTTTCAATATTTAATATACCACGACTATATGACCCCCCCCCCCCCCTGGCGCCAAAGCTGGATCCGCCCTTGCTACTGTCTTATTATTTTTATGCATTATTAGCGGCCGCCCTCGACTTTGTCCGAGTTAACTTTAGTTTTATCCCTTAGCAACCTAACACTTTTTCGGGATAAAAAGTACCCTTTGTCTCATGCTTGTCATAAACTACTGAGTATCAAATTTCATTCAAATTCGTTCAGTAGTTTTACGTGATTGAGTAACAAAAATGTAAATAGCAAAGATAGAGACACACACACATACAAACTTTCACATTTATAGTATTAGTGACAGTTACTTTCACATTTATAGTATTAGTGACAGTTACAGTAGACTGACAGTTACAAATTAATGTTACCATATCAATATTAATTCCCCAATAAATGCAATCTCGTCCATACAATAAACACAGTTGTCAAGATATAAAATCCTAACAACCGAACAGTTAAATGCATTAGAATAGAAATGTAATAGCACAGCACTTACTACTTCTAACTTAAGGCATTGATATAAGTAATAAGTGAGCACTTTTTAATGCACTTTACTGTTGTAATACATTTTATTCAATTAGGTTTGTATTATTATAAATTTTAATTAATTTCGCATCTATACTAATATTATAAAGAGGAAAGATTTGATTTTTTGTCTTTTTGTATTGAATAGGTTTCAAAACAATGGGCCGATTTAAAAATATCTTTTACATTTAGAATCCGTCATTATATCTGATGAACATAGGCTATAGAGTATTTTCAAAAAAGTTAAGGTTCCGTATGAAAACTTCGATAATGTAACTCAATGTGTTAAAAAAACTACCTTAAAATAATCTAATATCGCGTACGCTGCGGAAGTCATTGACAATGGAGCAATGTAATGTACTAAAGTTTCATGGGGACATCATTATCTACAAAAATCCGTGTCTAATTATTACAGTTCTGTCACAACTAAACAAAGCGTGCTTCACCCGCGTTAATTTGTGGGTAAAGGTTATCGTGAGTCAAAAATTAAAAGATGAAAAAAAATGGGTGCGTGTACTTATGTAGGCGCGTGAGAAGTTATCCTTCTTTGGCATCGTTTAAAATTAGTTTTTAATTGCATGCAAATAATTAATTACAATAAATTAATAAAAAGTCTGGAAAAGGACACAGTCAATAAAGTTCAGTTTTAATTTGAAAAAATAAATAAATAATCAAAATATTCAATTAAAATCGCTACTGAATATAATTTATTAGAACATATGTGATTTGCACTTGTATGAAACTCAAACACGTATTCCGAATATAAAAACTAGAAACATGTGGATAAATATTATAAATATGAATACCTATAGAACTGTTACTTTATTACAAAAAATAAAGATGTGGTTTTTGGTTCTACTACACCAATGGTCAAGAGATGGCGCTGTAGTCTCCTGAATCGCGCTTTGGTTCCGTTGTTCCAGATTAATAAATACTTTTGATATTATAAATATGAATACCTATAACTGTTACTTTATTATAAAAAATAAAGATGTGGTTTTTGGTTCTACTACACCAATGGTCAAGAGATGGCGCTGTAGTCTCCTAAATCGCGCTTTGGTTCCGTTGTTCCAGATTAATAAATACTTTTGATAGGCCTTCACAATGCAGTCGTTAGCACATACTAAATAGAGATTCTATTTCTATTTTGTTGGTAGATTTTCTTAATGTACGGTAAACACAAAAGTAACAGCATGAAGAATTTTGTGTTACAGTGATGCGCGCGCATCTTAAAATTTCACTCTCATCATTTTTTCATAACGCGCCTAAAGAAGTATAACTTCAAAAATGCTGTCGCGGACTTTTCTATAATTTTTTAAAGGGGAGCAGTTCCGTCATATATAATTACCCAGCGCACTTTAACCGTTTACCCAACGCACGCCACGGAAGCTCATAAATGGATGACTTTTACCCGGTTTTGCAACATTTTTCATTGATGCTCCGATCAGTATCATAGCGTGATAATAAATAGCCTTCCTCGATAAATGCACTATCTAACACAATAATATTTTTTCAAATCGAACCGGTATTTCCTGAGCTTAGTGCGTTCAACAAAAAAAACAAACAATCAAACTCTCCAACCTTTTGTTTAATATTAGTAAGTAAGTTTATCTGATTTTCACGGATGGTTTATAGTTATATAAAGAAAGTCATTGTGAAGGAAGGAAGAGTCAAGGCTAAGAACAAAAACGATAGTCTACACCGAAACGAAGCGAGGTAGTATAAAAATAATTTTATTAATTCCGGGAAACAAACGTCTTACTCTGTTATTTTTTATCGTAATTAAAGTGACGGCTAAATATTGTCGTATCTCTGAGACAAAGAGAGTTAGGGCATAGTGGATTTTCAGCACGAATTGAACCCGTTTGATGAAGTACCCTTCACCTTACAAAAGACCACAATAAAGTAACACTACCTTTTGGTGGTGTTGTGTTTGTGTCGGTGAGTATGGTTCCAGGGCTATGGTTAAGGTAGGCAAGGTGCATGTGGTATTTTTGGTATCGTAAGCGTCTATAGACCGCTTATCATGAGGCGAGCCATACGCTTGTTTGCCACCATTTTAACAAAATAAAATAATAATAATAATAAACAATATATAGCTTAGATAACTTACATAAGGAAATAGGAATTCATTGATAAAACCGGTAATTTTCAACAAAACTTTATTTACTCTTAGATGTAATCAAAATATAACCTGCTGTGAACGGACTATTGAATTAAACCAACGAAGTTTTTTTTTACATTAATGGTATATGAATTCTAGTAACAGTATTGATAAATTTCTCTACCGTTGCATTTTTTTGCCCAGGATTCAATTATTAAGGGAAAAACATATTTACGGTAAAATTAAGTTTATAAAATAGCAACACTTATTAAAAAATAAAAACAGCATGGATGTCGTGTCTTCTCGTCGCGGCTGAAATCTTCAAAATAGATCGATATTTTCCTTTACATTCTAAATGAAAGTTCCTTTTGATTAGTGTATAATTAAGTGCACCGAATGCCTTCTGTGCTTATCATTGTATATTATTTTTATACATTTAGCGAAGAGATTGTTTCATCTATCTAAATGAAAAAACCTGGGGTATGAGCGCTGTGTAAATTATTTCAGTTTAATAGAATATTATGCTGAGAAAATGAAGTGCCACTACGAAGTATTAAACCTTACTAAAGAATCAAGTGCGTCAGAAATCAAAAAAGCATACAGGCGACTAGCGCTTCAATGGCATCCAGATAAAAATTTGGATAATCTGCAAGAGGCGAAGGAACAATTTCAACTAGTGCAGAACGCATATGAAGTACTTTCAGATCCTCAAGAAAGAGCTTGGTAAAGTTTTGTTTGCTTTTCTATCAAACCCAAATGCAATTTCTGTAGGTCAAAATTGGCGCAATATTCATTACGCCATTGCATCATATTAGGTTGATTTGTCTTAATTTACGCCATCTATTTATTGTAACGAGCTGAACACATGGTTTGATCTTTGGGTCTATTTTCTCTGGGTCTATTAACTATTTAATAAATCTAATGATATAGAAAAATTTTAACTTGCACCACTTCAAAATTCTCATGACTAATAAAGAACTCATAATTTCCAGGTATGACAACCATAGAGAGCAATTACTGAGAGGAGCTGGCAGTTCGTACAATGATGACAGCCTCGATGTGTATCCTTACTTCAGCCCATCTTGTTATAAAGGCTTTGCTGATGATCCTCAGGGGTTCTATGGTGTTTACTCTGAAGTAAATTACAATTATTATCTGAGTTTACTTATTCTTAAATGAACTGAATACTATTCTTAATTAATTCATGAAGTTGAGTGTACCTATATACTGCAAATCAGTATTCTTAGTTAATGAACACCTAACTTTAATTTATGTGGTAAGGCCATTGGCTCTAATTTTTTAGTAACTGGGAATGTAAATGTTATTACTTTTTGTAGTCTTAATACTAGTTTTGCTAAGTAGATTAAAATGAAATTTATTGGATGGACTTTTTTGTTTTTTATGTGTAAATATTTTTTTTTTACAGGTCTTTTCAAAACTAGCAGCTGAAGAGACAGATTTCCTAGATGACCCAGAAGAAGTAACTAAAATTCCCAAATTTGGCAGCTCCTCTACTCCTTATGAAGATGTACATGAATTTTATGCCTATTGGATGGCTTTCTCAACAAATAAAAGTGAGTATTGTACTGAATGTTACTTGTAAATTATTTAATTTTATCTCAGTGGTTATGTGTTTGAAAGTAGCTTACATAAATTATTCATATTTAATTATGAAGAATGATGACTGTTTTGTGTAAGAACAGTGATCTTGCCTTTTACTCTAAATATGTTATTGGGTCAAATCCTGGTGGGGGCATATATTTGTGTAAATTACTGAAAAGTGTTGTTTAATTCATGCTGTTTAGTCTAGAACTAAATGTTCAGAACAGGCTATTTGACAGTATGAAAAATAATGAACCAATTATTGGCATCTGTATTAAATAAGAATATTTGCAGTGAGTTTACAATTTTAAAAGAACAGATAATTAATATGTTTTCTATAAAATCAAAATAGAAATTATTAATTGCTCCAATGGTCACGTGACTATAAATGCCTGGGATTGGTCAAGATTAAAATGACCTCACACGCTAGTATACTTCTTGCCAAAGTGACATTACATTCTATCGTTTGATGTTTTAATGACAGTTGTGTGATGTGTGACATACATGTGACACTATTGAGATACCATAATGTCTAGAGAAATGCTTTCCTGGCAATTTGTATTTAGTATTTTTTAATGAATTACAGAACAGAACATTCACTTTTTATGGACTCCATAAACATTGGTAAATAATGTGAGATTGTTTTCTAAAACTTGTCAAATATCCTATGTTTCATATTTTTTTAAATTGTATAATTTGCTCATACTCACCATGCTAGAGACGGATACGTATTTGTAGGTTGTTCCTTGACCATTGTCAATTAATTTATATATTCATGACTATAACCTGCTTTGTGTTTTTACAAATAAATAAATTTTATTAATTTGTATTTTTTTCTAGGCTATGTGTGGTTAGATCAATATGAGATTCAGCAAGGTGATAACAGAAGGATTATAAAACTAATGGAAAAGGAAAATAATAAAATAAGACAAAAAGCTAGAAAAGAAAGAAATGAAGAGATCAGGAGACTTGTAAGTTTTGTTCGTAGAAAGGACAAAAGAGTGATTGAACATACTAAACTTCTGCAAGAGAAAGCTGAAGAAAACAAACGAAAGGTGATACTTGTATTTTCAGCGTTTCTTAGTATATTATAATGTATTTTTTTTAATAACTTGATAGTTTAATTATATACATTTTTAGTAAATGTTAAATGTTCTGTCATGTTTTTCAGGCAGAACAAGTAAGAAGAGAAAGAATAATACAAAGACAAAAGGAGATAGAAGAGGCGAAAAAAAAAGAGGGTGAAAGCTCATTTATTCATAGTGAAGAGTACCAGAAGAAGCTTAGTGAAATAGAATCACTACTAGCTGAAGAATTTGGGTTGTCATCAGAAGATGATACTATAAGTGAGGGAGGAATGGAAAGCAGCAATGAAGAGAGTTCTAAGACTGAAGAGGTCAGAATGATAACTATCTTATTAAATACCTTGTCAGTTGTTCTTATTATGCTGTGTTTATATTGTCATCATCATTTACTTTAGTTTAATTTTTAAAGGATTTTATTTGTTTAATTGTCATAGTTACAAGCTATTCAAACTTTATCACAATACAGATATTGTCAAACCTTACAGACTGTGTATTGTGTGTATATAAAAACCAGCCAAATTCAAGTTGTTCTTGTTGTGTTCAGTCATGGTTCTTACAGAACCTTACATGTCCATACATTACATATATTTAAGATTTGATTCAACTCAACTAATGCAATAATATGTATATTACAGGCAAGTGAAACATCAAAGGCAACAGCAAAATCATCAGCAAAGTCTAAATCATCCATGAGGAATCTCTATTGTTCTGCATGCAGTAAATTATTTAAAAATATTAAATCATTTGAAAATCATGAAAATAGCAAGAAGCACAAAGAAAATGTTGCCAATATGTCTATGGATGAAGATATAGGTATTTCAGATAATGAAGAAGAAAACGATGACGAGGTGGACAATGTCCCAACCAAAGATGTTGAGGAAGAGGATGTCGTTAATGGACAATCTGATGATGTTAAGATAGATAACTCAACCTCAGATATTGAAGACAATGATATAAGAGAAACTTTAAGTGATGACTCAGATCAAGTGCAGGTAATTTAAATTTGTTGCTATGCTAAAATTTCAACATAATACCTATTAATATTAAAAATGAATGTTTGAATGTTGCTGATGGTTTTAAATCCTATATAAAATTACAAATTCATAGCCGACTACAGGCAGCAGCAACAGGTGACTTGTCGCGTTGACGCTACTGGTTTACATGTATAACTGGAGTACATATTAAATTAATTAGAAAAAATGTGTTTCCTTGAGTTAGAGGAAGATAAACCAGGTGGCTCAATATCTCGCACTGTATGGTGTATGGCACAAAAAGTATTTGAATATTGTCTGCTGTTATGCTTGAAGTAGGCTATGAAGACTTACTCCTTCTGATTCTCAGACATCATACATTAGTGTAATTTGGTGTATTATTAATATGATTTTTTTATTTCAGGCTTTGCCAAAAAGTCATAAAAAGAAAAAGAACAAGAAGAAATCCTTTATACCAATGCCAGAAAGTGAAGGTAATGACAGCCATGATGAGATGAGCTTCAATGAAATAGAGGGGCCTTCACGTAGCAGGAAAGCAAAAAAATTTAATATGTTAAAAAGTCAAATTCAGGCTAAGAAAGAAGCAAACTTAAAAAAAGGATCTCAATCACAAACTTCTACTGAAAATTTGTATGAAGTATCTAGCACAACACCAACAGACGACCCCCTAGGTGAAGCAGCTTTGCCAAAAGATAGACCTATGCTGCCCAAACTTCAAAGGAATGTAAAGACCAAAAAACCTTTAGACAGAAAACCTCTGAGGCCGAAAGCCAGTGAAACAGAAGATTCCAGTACAGCTCTTCTAAGATGTGCCGTTTGTCAAACAGATTTTCCCTCAAAAAATAAACTATTTGAACATTTAAAAAAGACAGGACATTCTGTGCCACTTCCCCAAACAAGCTTTGCACAAACAAAAAAAGGTAAACGGGCTAATAGATAAATATGTGCAATGGATTAATTTAGATAGGTAGGATGAAAGTATAATTCATTGAGAATCATCTTGATTTCTCTTTAAATCTCTACTACAAGTTGTAAAGTGACTTTGTCAATCTATTTATTAAAATTATGATCACTATCATTAAAATATGCCTACATGAAGTTCTGTGTTTATTTTAATAAAACAAAATACTAACATCAATACATTTTAATACTTGACACACTCAGTTAATGCAAATGAATAACATAATATTAGATTTTTTTAAAGATTTCTATCTATAATGTTAGAAATTATTTAATAAATTTTAGAAACAACATTATCTTGTGCCAGATGAACAGGTCAGGTGACACCATATTCCAGAGCCGCCTGAAACAAACTGGGAATTGACCAATACGCATAAGAATAGTCTAATATTAAATCTATTTAGTTCTACTAATTATATTATTGTGCTGTTAGCACAATAATATAATTATAACAGCTTATTGGTGTGTAATATCTTTTTATAGAGATTTTATATATATTTATAGATTTCAAATTCAATGATATTTCTATATATCAATAAAATTATAAAATGGAATGTCACCAGGGGTGTATTTGGTTATCTGCCCCCCGCACCCACCTCCTTAAATAAGTTATTAGCAAAAATCACTTACAAAAGTTTAAGAATACTAACTACTCAAATTCTGGTATGTCAGAATAACTGTAACCAGGATATTCTTTATAAGCATAATATGCTATTCTTATATGATATGCACCAGGCAAAAACATGATACCTCCTAAAACTATCATTGGCCATAACCTATCAGAATATTTAGTGTCTATATGTCCAGTCACTATCAAACTTCCAGTTATAAGTAACACTGTTCCGACTATAAACAAAAATGCAGCTAAGCTGATTGCCTTCCAAGGAATCTTTGGTGGTGGTAGTTCAAACTGAGCATCTGAAAAACCACTGTCGTCGTTGGATACAAGCCGATAACCTTCATGTTGTCTTCCAAATCTGAAGCGAGACATCCCAAACCGTTTTATGTTCTCTGAAAACAATAATAGTTTTAGTTTTATTAACTCTTGATAACATACAACGTAAAACTTTTTAATTTGAGATGAAACTTGTAATTTACAGCCTCATTACTGAACATAAAACATTATTCAATTTCCCACAATAGAACTTTAATTTCAATTACCTATTTTTGTAAAAAAAAATAAGAAATGGTTGTTTACAAAAAATAAACACAGAAAAATAAAAATTAAAAAGTTAATGTCAAAATTATTTCGTTTTAATGTTTTCCCTTTAGGGAGGCAAAGGATACTAAAGCCATACAGTTTGTACTTAAGTTTTTTTTCACATTAGAATGTGAATATGGTGCCCTTTAAAATTTTTTTGGACATAATTTGCACGAAACGTATCGAGTGAGCTCCCTGGATAAGCTTCTGCGTGTAGTGCTGATTAGCACTATGATGTATGATAACACATTTTTTTCAGTTACGCAGACTATATGACATGTGTGAAAACTGACAACACACAACACCTCTTTAACATTAAATTATCTAATTGATATTAATTAGAGAATAATAATTACACACTTAGCGCACTCGATGAAATCACACCTAACTTCTCTTATTTTATATTAGAGTGGAAAAAATAATATTAACAAGATTTTTAAAGAGGACAGTTCAATAGTGAAGCTTTCAAAAGCTTCTTTTACATAAGGACATACACAACAAGTTTACCTCTGATAAATTTTAAATCGTGTTCGAAAATTGAATAATTTCGTAAGGATTCTGGCAACCCCTTCTGTCTCTGTAAGTCTAAGGCAAGGAACTTATAATCTATTGAAATGTCAGTCAGTCTGATCATACATGATATTCGTAAAATCGTGGTGAACTTTTTATACCAATTTATGATTGATTCTTCTTAAGATAAAATACCCACAAAATACCTAACAATGGTGTCGATTCTGGCGAGATTCTCTTAACTTAAAACTAAATTAAGCATCAGTCTCTCCTTTTCATTCTATATAGAGAATGACAAGGATACACTGTTGGCAAATTTAAGTTTAGATTTAGAGAATCGTACTAGAATCGACACCAATGTAATCAAAGATGATATAAAATATTATTCTCGCCATAATGTACCTATTGAATAGAATAAAGTTGATGCTTTGACAACAAAAAATAGATATATAAACTTACCATTTGCCAATCAATAATTATATAATTTAATAGTATAATTATTATTAAAAAAAAGAACGAGGATAAATTTAAATTCTAGTTTTTTGACAAATTATTTACAATAATATGCGCATACATAAAATTTGGAGTATGCCGGAAATTCACTACCACCCTCCCTACAGTAAACATATAGGTGGTTTTCCAATTACAGAGCATAATGCGACTCATCGTATCGTAGAGATGTGCCGAGTCAGGTTAACTCGAATACTGACTCGAATACCTAGCAGGTACTCACGTACTCGAGTCCTCGAAATATTGTATTCGGATCCACAGTACTTGAGTACAGGTTTCGAGTACTTACGGTATTCGAATACTCAGTCGTTGTACTCGTACAGTGAAGTCAGTAACGTGGAGTGGTGTAGATTTGAACGTGTTTATTTTTCCTACTCGACCGACCACTTTAATGAGATGTTAACAAAAGTTTAATTACATATTTGTTTCTTATAAGTAATTATCTATTTTAATTAGTCGAACTCTCGGTTACTAGTTAAACTGTAGGATTTGTATAAAGTTTTACTGTTTTTTAACTAGTAACTTTGTGATAGGATGGCTTCGAAGAAAAAAATCGAAGTATGAAATTTTAGTAATATTTTAACAAATAAAAAGTGGAGTGCAAAGTGTGTAAAAAATGGATGCGTGTAACTTATGTACGCGCGTGAGAAGTTATACTTCTTTAGCATCATTAAAAATATTTTTTAAATGCATGCAAATAATTAATAATTACAGTAAAATAATAAAAGGACTGGAAAAGGATAGTTAACACAGTCAATTAAGTTCAGTTTTAATTTGAAAAATTAAATAAATATTCAAAATATTCAATTAAAATCACTACTGAATTTAAGTTATTAGTCCATATGTAATTAGCACTTGTAAGTAACTAAAACACGTTGTGTCTATATAGAAACTAGAAACATGTGGATAAATATTATAAATATGAAAACAGTGATCAGAGGCGACAAGCGTGCCAACATTGTTTTTGACAACGCGATCATCTTATGGAGCTCCATGGATCGTTCAAAGTACCTTTCGAACAGACACTAACATTCATAACGCGCCCGCGGCCAACTTCATGGTGTTACTATTGCGTTACAGTGATGCGCGCGTATCTAAAAATTTCACTCTCATCATTTTTTCATAACGCGCCTAAAGAAGTATAACTTCAAAAACATTTGTTAATTTTGGAAACGCCATAAATTTATTAAAACATTTGAAAAAATACATCCTTTGATTTATACAGCGATAATAGAAAAAAAACTAAGCAAAATGAAAACGAAAGCTTGGATGAGAGTTCTGATTTGGACTTGGAGTCATTAGACTCATGAGCATCGTCATCTACAATTCAATCAAATGACATTGACCACGTACCAGCAAAAAGTCGTAAAAGACAATTACAGATGACTTTTTTGTCAAAAAATGCTATTCAGGTCCACTCGAAGAATATCATAAGACTCGGATAGCCGAGTCTTATGACTCGAGTCCTAATTCGAATCTTTTTTTAACGAGTACTAAAATACCCGAATACCAAAAATAACCGACTCGGCACATCACTACAGTGGCGCACAATGCCGATTAGGCTAGTTGACCCTTTTTGGAAAAAGGTTTTAAATGGTTAATAAATGTTCTATTAGACCGAAAAAAAATGTATTGTATTTTTTTGAGACTTAGAGAGCTACAAATCTTTAATTTTAAAATAGACTTTTCATGGACATACAAAAACGCTGTCGGCCATTTTAGTCTATAGATTATCTATGCTATGACGTTGACGGTAGTAAACAAAAACTCGTAAGCACGTAGAAAATAACCTATCTGAGTTTATAATAAAAAAAACATGATTTCTAATAGATACCACGAAAAATATAGTAATTATCATTATTGTATTGTACGAGAATGTAAAAACACATCCTTGAAGACTCCAGGAAAGTTGTGGATTAAAGTGCCGAAAGAAATTAACCTACGCAATACCTGGTTAGAACTGTCTAAAAGTGATCCTGCTACTTTATCGACTCATAGAAAAAAATATTTATGCGACGAAGATCACTTTGATGTAAGTACTCATTGAATAATATTTTAAGTCTCTTCATTTATTATCAGTTTTAATAATACAAGTTTTAAAGTTATGTATGAATGACATTTAGTTGTTTACTAAAAGAGACGTCACAACTATGGCGGATGTAGCGAACAGCGTATTTAGTGTTTAAAAGGTATAGACTAAAAATATTTTTTTTAAATTAAATTTCTACAGCAATCTCCTGCTTTTATGAAGTAAAATCGATATATTTAGGTTCCTTAGACCAAATACTTTAGGAAATAAACCTTTATTTAATACAATTCGACATGAGTCAACTAGCCTATTGTAACGTAAATTAGTTTTCAAATGCATCAGCAGAGTGCGCTAAGTTCAGTGTTGAAAAAAAAGTAATTGTTTGTACCTTCATCCATATTTATGTTTAATTTTTTAACACAGTTTGAATTAACTTTGATTATTTAAAAAAAACTATAATGAAACGAAAGTTTTAATAATATTTCAACAATAAATAATATTACTAACGATAACATATAAATAAAACATTTCGATCAATGCCAACTTAAAGAAAAAACACTTGTTAATTTTCTGTGTCTCAGTTGGTACGATTGCACGCATCATACGAAAGCATTACTTTCGAGAGTGCTCGATTGTGCAAAGCGTTGCTGTAGCTGTAGTTGAAACACTCAACGTTAAGCATTATGCCGCATAATGCGCTATAATGCTGTAATTGGAAAGCTACCATAGTGCACGCCAATAAATGTTTTAAGGACTACAAATTTTGATCGCGAGTCGTTCTGTAACAAATTACCGTTTTAAATTACCGTCAGTCGCGGGAAAAACCGCTGGTTCGGTCGCTAGCAATAGTTCCTTTGGCTCACAAAACTACGCTGTTAGCCGTAGTGCGTCCTAGCACTTAATCCTCCTTTCTCTCAATGCTTCTCTTTCAACCTTGCATTGCATCCATAAACAGTCCTTTTTGTTCTTACATACTCGTACGTTCAACACCTATCGGTTCGGTTTCATTCGGTTGTCATCGCTCGGTTTTCAATCTACCTTCGCCGGCCCCCTTTCTGCGAATATTGATGTGATTCCAATCCCAACTGAGTAGTGTGAAGCTTCACCTACCCCCCACTTTACACCTTTCATTTATGTATATCAAGACTGTAGCCAGGAGGTATATTTAATATAGGACAGTTGGAATACAATCAGGGGTGTAAACTTGCCTCCTCTAGACCATAGGCTGGCGACGCCCTTATTATGCCGATGGGTTATTTAGGCAACGGAGTTATGACTCTCCTGCATGCGCCTACCTATAGGCCTATTCGCTTATTGCTTTTGGCAAATAGAAGTGATAATCACCGAGCTATTAAGTTACCCACCACTCCCTCCAAATACCTCAGCGGCTGCCCGGGATGAGAAGGGGAGGGCGGGGGCTACACAATAAAAATCCTACAGTGCTTCCACGCCTGCCGGAGCGGGTTTCGTGGGTTTCGGAGAATCTGCACGTTAAGGATGCAAATAGCTCAGAACCGATCGATGTGAAAACCTCGTCGGCATCGTTTGGCTAAATGATGCTGAACCTTTTTTTTTATGGTCGTTTCTACATCTGCAGCAGATGTAAATTAATGGTATCATTATCAGTTTGCAGGAACTCGTGTCTACGTTGCCTATGACACTGAGCCTACATGCCACTATCGATATAAAACTTTAGACTCTTTGACGACTTGCAAGCTTGCATTTTTTTGGTTGGCCTGACATGTATCTGTTTCCACGTTGAGTCCAAGGTATTAATTACCATGCCACTTCCATTTATGGAGATTTTCTTAATGAAATAGCCAAAATCAAGCCTTCCTTTAGAAAGACAACCTAACGTTACACTGCGAAGTCGCACACTCGCACAACAAGGCCTTTTCAAGTTTGAAATTTTACAGAGCACCTTCCTCACTTTTAAAAGCTTTGGGTAGGTACTATTTTAATCGAATTCTGATTTCTATCTACTTTCTAATAATTTAGTGCTCGTGTCACGCGTGTCCCAGTGTTTGTGTCAAAACTCCTCCGAAACGACTTGCCAGATTCTAAGAATAGGACGTTTACTATTTTTCATACCCCTAAGTGATAAGGGTGGTCCGCCCCAATTAATTTTTATTAGAACAATAATTTTAATACCATTTTTTTATGATTCGGCATTTGAAAACACATATAACACTATATTTTTACGTTTGACCTTAGAGGAATGGAATATATTTACTGGAAACGATTTTTGACAAATTACCTACTCTGCTTAATAGGTAAATAGAAAACTCCTTTGAAAAAAACTTTTGTAACAAGAAACTTAAACTTAGCGTGAGTTAAAAAAAATGTTTTAAAAATAATTTCAATTTACCTTTTATGTGTAGCAGAAATGTCATTTAATTAGACGATTTGTTTTCGGCTTCAAAATATTATTCGTTTTAGGAGATGTACAATAACATTCTCAGCTTCTCAATTCTGAAAAAATAAAAATCTTTAAATAGGGAATTAGCTTAACCGTATGAACAATTTTGAACCAAAGTTCAGTCAAGAGTTGTTAAGTTGGATATTACCTACAAAAGAAAAGTGTGGTAACATAATAACAGTACATTTCACATGCCACCATTAATGCTACATTTATTCTTTTGTTTTATACCCTTAAAGGAAAATACCAGATAAAAGGTTATAGTTAGTCGAACTTAAAAGATGGGCATATGCTGTCGCGGACTTTCCGTCATACATTTTATGTGTAACTTTAATCATTTACGCAGCGCACCCAATGGAATCTGCCAAATGTAATATTTTACATCGATACTCCGCTCATACTGGTCGCAGCGTAATAATATAGCCTTAAGCCTTCCTCAATAAATGCACAATAAACAAAAAAAATATCGAACCATTAGTTCCTGAGATTTGCGCGTTCAACCAATAAAATGGTGCATTCAGTACAACGGGTCCTAAACTACGCAACAAAATTTTCACTATCAGTTACATAAAATTTCATGGAAGGTTTCTAATTAGATCAATTAATTAATTGTGTATAATACCTAGTCTGACAACAAAAACTATCGTCTATACTACACCGAAGCGAAGCGAGGGCGGGCCACTCGTAGGTAATAAAATCCTTTCACCAAATATAAAAAAAAATGCCTTAGGAATTTGGTTAAAGACAATTAATACAATATTTCTATACTGGTCATAACTTTAAATCTAAAGAAAATTTTACTAGAAAAAATCTACGTGGACCACTATCCGGGCGGATGCACTGACCATTATGCTACCGCGGCCCTCGCCATGTTGAATTCTTTCTAGTACTTCGTAGGCTGCAAGGCAACGCCATCTCTTCGCACTGTAGGAAACCCACAATCGAGTCCCGTATGCTACCTGGTCCGCGTGGAATGTTTTCTAAGAAAATTTTCTTTAGATTTAAACATCTAGCAGTTAAATGCTTAAGAATTAAAAAATATAACTAATCATAACGTGTTACAAGATTGGGATAGTACTCATAGTAAAATGGGCATTCTCCTTTAGTGCGTCACCACACAACACCCCACACTGCAGTTTCGTGTACAGACCTTGACCTGATGCAGCTAACACATATAACAATACCAGTCCGGCAATTTCCGAGGCTCTCTGTGTTTTATTTTTAGCGTCAATAATTTCCAATTTCATTTCCGTTTCAAAATCTTTAAGCTATTGTCAATATCCTAAGACAACTACTGTTGTAGGTACGTACAATATTAAATTCAGATAGGTACGACACGAGAAATAAAATCACACTGAATCAACCATACTAAATCGTATAATTATAAGTACCTAAGCAATTGCCATAAAGTTTTTTTGACTGCCTAAGTTGACTAAGGTTTTTCAATGACGTCCTAATCTTCCTATCCATCTCTTAATCAGAGTCCAAAGTTACAAAACGTTGCTTTAAAAGAAGAATAATATCTAAACCTATAGCAATATCTTTACATAATGATTTTACGAGCTTTTCGTTACAAAATCATCTTAGGAGCTCAGTTACAAAGGTAAACTTAATCTTGTTAAAAGATGATTATATTATTATTTCAGGCTAGAATAAAAATATTAAAATAAAAAACAAACATGAGTGTCCTTGTAACGAAGTTAAAAATAAACATAAGTACCATTAAGTACTACACACAATACGCTACGAAACAAGTGACGGTTGTGACGGAAAAATCTTATCCTTTTTTTAGCCCCGTCCGTAACGTCATAAAAGAAACTTCGTTCTAAAATCAGACACCCCTAAAATGTGTCAAATCAGATCATATAAGATAATCAAGACAGTTTTGGTTCTAAAGACCTACTATGAACCGTTCTCATTAAGCATAGTTCCAAATGCAATTCTACTAATATCATTTAATTCTATAAGTAAAATTATTTCTAATCGATGCTGCTTGAAATTTACGCATTATAACTCCATAACTTGTTCCCCGGTAACAGGACATGACGCCATTTCTGGAGCAGCGCCAAAACAAAGAACATCTCGAGCCTTAACAGTGAAAGTGGCGCCAATCGATAGCATGTCACACCGCTAACCTACGACACGCCGGACTGAACAGCTGATTCCGACATTTTACAACGATTGAGCCTTTGATTTTATCACTGCGCAAACAATATAAATGAAAAAAATAAGTATTGCCTACGGATTAACCCCCTAATCTTCGGCAAAGCTCAAACTTATTAGGTTAGATTGAAATCAATATGCTTTCTTTTTGAGCTTTTGAATGAACGTGACTTAAGTAAATATGTCAAACGAAGGACCTCGAACTTTTTTGGCGATTAAATTCTTAAGCAAGAGCTAACCTAGTATCATACCCACTTGATATATTTTAATCTATAATCATACAAAATACCGAACGCATTTTTAGTGCATTGAAAACGATTGCGTAAAATGTATGCTCACCTCGGTTTATGCTAATGCTGCGTATAAGTGGTATAGGTAGCACATGTATTGGGAAATCGGAATGCTCGGTGCTTAGTTTGATGGTCGAGAGTTATCGTTTGCGGCGTGCCAGGGAGCATGCGCGGTGGTGCAGGCGCGCGCAGCGGCCGGCTGTCACGCAGGGCTGGCCGGCCACTCCGCCGGCAAATCGACCTCAAGCCACACGCGCGCCCATCGCTCGCTACGCGAAGCAACGCCGGCCCCTCGCGGCCTCCTGGCCCTCCTCGGCGCTTCTAACACCCTAGTACTACTCCACTCCACCAGCGGGGGCAAAGCACCACGGACGCCGGCGTTCGCACACAGGGCTCGCCTACAAAAGGTATGCCGACCATTATATGCTTGTTTCCGATGACATGTCCGCCCCGAATGCTTGACGACTACAATGCGACACAAATATAATTGATTAACTATTTAAATTACTGTATTGATAAGCTGATTAACTGCGCTATGACAACGGTCGGAAGTATTCATCTTTTCTCTTTACGTGACCGCAAACGTGCAGATAATCCTCTAATTGGCCAGTAGAGCATTGTGTCTGACCTTCCCTCATTACGGCTTCTACATTGAATTTGCAATGTAGCATTCCATGTAACTAAGCTATATTCTGCAACTGTAGGGCATTCATTAATACTATTAATAGATATCAGCTTTCCTCTTTAGATTTTCAACCGCCCAATTCTTATTAACTTTTTTAACCGGAGTTCCACAAAGTCTATTTATTCTTTCAGCAATAGGTACGGCGGAGAAAACTTTCCACGAATTGATTGTATGGTTATGAAATTCAATATTTCAAAGCTTTATTTTGCTTTAAGAATCTGAAGTAATCTTTTTTGTTTAATAAAACTGGATTATTTTTTCCCTTTTCTTTCGTACTTTTCTTTTTTGTTAGAGTTATTTTCTTATACCCTGAATAAAACTTAATAATTTTTTTTTAAAGTAGTAAATTGACAATTTGTCGTTCGTTTTACTGTTAGCCATTGCCAAAGACATTTCGTTTTATAGACATAATATTTCTTCGAGATTAAAAAAATTAAGTCTGACTGATTTACATTGTAACAGTAGATGGCGCCAATCTATCTGGCATGATTGGGCTGGCTCCAAGCAAACACAATTTTCCTGTCAATCCAGCCGCATGTCAAGCAAACGCACCGTTGTTAAGGGACTTAAACTAGATATAACACCCAATGAAAACTTGGTACCTACCTAGGTACATAATAAAAGTTAACAATGAATTCAATTGTTGACTATTTATAAACTATAAAACTCTGAGTTAAAATTATTCAAGTCCTTATTTTAATTTTTAAATCAAAAGAAAAGAAAAAAGCAGTGAAATACCTTTTCAGGTATTTGTTTCCGTCTCTTTCAAAGATTGCAGTGTTTTTTTTTCTTAAACACCGGCACTTAATAAAACGTTTATATTTAAGGTTATTGTTAAGAATAATACTAATATTTTCTGCATGAAACCCAAATAATACATAATCTAATTTAATTTCAATATTGGGTGATTTTGTTTCTTTTATTTTATTCTGATTTATCCAAACCACGGTTTTATTTGAAAACCTAAAAATAACAAAAATATTTACAAATAAATAGGTAGTCTACTTCTAGGAGAAAAATTATCGTGTTTTTTTTGTGGCCTCCATTATATTGAAAATAAAACTCTACATTAGGACTATAAGCATTTCGGTTCTATTTATTTTAATTTTGTTATTTTCGAATATTGTAAGATTGTTACTCATATACCTCATAAACCTTTGAGGTACTAGAAGATAATATAGGCTATAAATTGCTTGAATAAGATCGCTATAGAGTATAGAAACTTTGTGAATAATCGTGATCTACCGCAAACTTTACGTAATTATTCACGCGACCTTTTTAAAACCTCGCCAATTTAATTACAAACCGTTCTCCGTGGACTATCGATAATGTCTCATTATATCACTTTTGTCATCTTAAAATTTAGTATGCGCTTATTTTTCTATCATGATTTCCCTTATTTAGTTGATGTATCAAAAAGTTTCCGCGGTTACAACACAAAGAGTAAATTAAAAGAACATTTTAGTAATGGCATTTGAAACAGTGCCACAAAATCAGGAACAAATAGAACACCCACCAATATGTGGGTTACCTACAATGCGAAGGGATGGCGCTGCCTTACTGCTTAAGGCTAGAAAAATTTCGACATGGCCATCAGGGCCGCGGTAGCATAACTGGTCAGTGCGTTCGCCCGGATAGCAAAGAGTGCGGGTTCGAGTCCCGTCTGCTGCCTGGTCCGCGTGCATTTTTTCCTAGTAAAACTTTTCTTTAGATTTAAACATCTAGCAGTTAAATGCTTAAAAAATAAAAACATAACCCACCAATAACTATAATGCGAATTGAAATGAATATTTATAATTAAAGTTTATAACAATTTGATCAAGAGAACAACTCTTCAAGTTTCAGACTTTCAAAGTATTACATCAACTTGAACTGTGTCACAAAGAAAGCTGCTACACGTTTTGAAAATATTTATTAGTAGGTATGTCTCAAATGCAATTTTAAAATAAGTTAGTTATAACACAAAGCGTCAGAATTTTTCCGCGTGACCTTGACTGCGATTCCTTGCCGCAGCAAAGAAAAAGGTGGTCTAGTCTATTGTCCTACTAAAAAGCTTTATCGATCACGGAAGGTCAGTCAGGCTTCATAAGAGACACGAGAGCTACTTGACCTACAGAACTACTTAATGTTCGTTGTTTCATACACACTCATACACCGATAAACACTATAGCTACTGTACTTGAGATACTTCTAACGCACTACATATTAATGACAAAAACTAAGGCACAATCAATGGCAAATAAATAGTATATGTGCCATAGACTGTGCCTCAGTCTTTGTCTGGAAGAGAAAAAAAAACACAAATATTTGAAATGTGCTGACGGTGAAGTCGAGCAAAAACCGCTTCAAAGTCACGTTTATTTCTAAAGTTCTTTATTTTTAAAGCGATGATAAAAATATAAAATGAGAACATTTTCAACTTTTCATGTCTCGTGAACCGCAACGGCTTACGAATAAACTTCTTTCCACTGAAAGACGGCTCGACAAATAGAGAGCAGATAATTCTTAGGATTCCGTAGTCACAGTTTCGCTACAGAACACAGCCGCTTTTAAAGTGGCAGATAGCTTACATAGTGTCCAACAGTTTTAACAATTTCCCTTCTAAGAATAAGCTGTTAGCGTCTGTCGGTCGGTGAAAATTAAAAATTATACGTAAACAACAAAACATCAATCATCAATAATAGTATAAGAGCTGGCAACGTTTTCGAGAATGAATTTTAGGTCGGCTAATTTTTGTATAATTCCCATTCTTATTGACAGTAGGTTGGGATGTGGTACGTCTGGCACCCAGAAGCCGTTGCGTTCAGTTGTGCGCATCCCACCTGTACAGGTAAAAATTGTACATTTTGAAATCATTAAATAAAACTAGTTTTTACGGATTAATGCACGAAACTTTATTTATTTATTGACGTTTCATAATTTCAGTGAAAGATTCATACCAATTTGTCAATGAGATTAGAGATCAACGTCTCATGGACAATGAAATCATGGTCAGTTTTTATGTTCAGTCCTTATTTACATGCCTACCAGTACAAGACTGCATTGAAATCACTAAGAAGAAGCTACTTGAAAATAATATGCCTATAGAATATGCAGTATTACTGGAGCATTGCCTTACATCTGGCTACCTGTTATGGGGGGATGACTTCTATGTACAAATGGAGGGTGTTGCAATGGGTTCCCCTGTCTCACCTGTTGTCGCCGATATTTTGATGGAAGACTTCGAGAAGAGGGCTCTCAGCGTAGCACCTGTCACCCAGGCTATATAAGCGGTACGTAGATGATACTTTCACAATCCTCCCAACAGATCAAATTTCTGCCTTTTTAAATCACCTTAACTCTATACACCCCAACATCCTATTCACTATGGAGTTAGAGGCAAATAGTAAACTAGCTTTTCTAGATATTTTATCAATCAGGAATCCTGACCAAAGTTTAAGCCATACTGTGTACCGTAAAGTGACTCATACTGATAGGTACCTCAATGGTAACTCACACCATCACCCGAAACAATTAACTGCCGTAGGAAACTCTTTGTTTCAGAGAGCATGGGGTGTCTGTGACAAACAACACCTGGCAGCTGAACTTCAGCATGTCGAGCAAGTACTGAAGGATAATAACCTGAATGTACCACGTCGCCGTCACAGTCGCGCCAAACCTAGCAGAGTCGACCGACAACCTGCTATACTACCTTACATGAAAGGAGTCACTGACAAGATTGAGAGGATTCTGAAGCGTGCTTCAATCAATACATACTTCAAGCCGCCAAAGAAGATCAACCAGTTTCTACGACCGGTCAAGTGCAATATACCCTTTCAAGTTGCTGATGTCTACAAACTTGAATGCGACTGTGGGCTCTCCTACATCGGGCAAACAAAGAGGAGTATAGGGACTCGGGTAAAAGAACATATCGCAGATATGAAACATAGGCGCGAAAATAAATCTGCAGTGTGTGAACATGCATTAGGGGGACCAAACCACTACATTAGATTTGATAGACCACAGATCCTTGCAGCTGAGCGGCGGTTCGTTCCACGAATGATGCGCGAGGCTATTGAGATTAAAAAATATCCAAATTTCAATAGGGAAGATGGTTGGTATATACCACCAGCTTGGGAACCTATTATACAGGAGATAAAATCCCAACCCCGAGCGTACACTGCAAGACCAACAGATAGATACTATTAGTTCTTTTTGTTTGCATAATTTAACATAAGAAGGAGATAGAAAGCCTCTCTTGAGTTTGTTTCGCCGGTTCTTCTCAGAAAGGTCTCCCAATTTTGGAACCGGTGGTAGTTTACGGTAGTTAGGGTCAAATAAATAAACTCAAAATTACAAAAAAGAATTTGAAATAAAATACTTTATTAAGTAAATTAAATAATAAATTCATTCATTAACCAAACGCTCAATAAAAGTCTTTCGAAGGTAGCTCGACAAATTAAATAAAAGTTTTATTCCGACGACGAAGCCTGTAAAGGCTACGAAACGTCAATAAATAAATAAAGTTTCGTGCATTAACCCGTAAAAACTAGTTTTATTTAATGAGTGATGTGCGTGAAAACCTAAGAAACAAATATTTTGAAATCATTTTCAGACATTTTTTTTTTATAGATTTCATATGTCTCGTTAGCAATATAAAACCATAATTGCCAGACACTTGTCGTTGCTAACATTGCCCCAGACACAATTTCTATAATTAAAAAATAATTATTTTTAAACAAT